AAAAATCTTAAATTATTCATGGCAGCTGTTAAAAAGTACAGGCTTACACTTAACCAAAACAAATGTTGTTTTAGATGTAAAAATATAAAATTACTTGGGTACATAACAAGTAAAAACATAAAACCCAATCCAGAACATCTGAAGCTATTACTCAGCCTACCGGTCCTTAAAGATTTACCTGTTTTGCACCATGCATTGGGAATGCTTGCACACTATGCACACTGGATTTCATCCTTTTCAGACAAAATCCACCTTCTGACAACAGTATCAAAATTCCAATCATCCCCCATAAAAGATAAAGTGTTTAAAAAGTTAAAAGGGGGCATAGCAAAAGAAGCCATTACTATGTCCAATCATACACTACCACTGGTAGTAGAGACATATCTCAGAATTTGCCAAAGCCTCTTTAAGACAATCAGGGAGGCCCTTAGACTTTTTTCTAGAACCCTATCTAAATTGGAATGTAGGTGTTCTGCATTAAAAAAAGAAACCTATGCTATTGTCAAATCACTGAGAAAATGGAGGCATTATTTGATCAGGCAACATTTTAAACTGATTAAACCAAAAATCAGTCTCATGTTTAACCCGAAAATGACAAGTAAAATTAAAAATGAGAAGATAGCCTGGTGGAGGATGGAACTCGTTTGATGTAACATACCACCCTAGTAAAAGAAATGCAGCTGCGAATGCCCTATCCAGTATATGTAGCTCATCTGCTTGCAAAGAAGAATTAAAGAAACTACATAGAGAGTTGTGCCACCCTGCATGGTGTTACATACATGGTCCATATGATGAAGATCAAAAGCCTTCCCTACTCATTAGAGGATGTGGAAGAAATTACCAATTTGTGTAAGATTTGCACTGAAAATAAACCTAGATTTTACCATTTTAAAACCAGCAAGGTCATAAAAGTCATGCAACCATATGAAAGAATTACATTAGATTTTAAAGGACTGCTTACATCATAGACTACTAACAAATATATGCTGACAATAATTGACAAATATTCAGTTTCCTTTCATGATTTACTGCCCCTATGTATCCTTGACAAGCATTTTGCTTAGTTTTTGCCATCTTCAGGCTACCCATGTATATTCAAGTTCAACTGAAATGTCCCTACTATCATGGCTCTCATGACCAGGAGTGATATTATTAAAAAGGCACATGCAACTGAATAAGAACAAACCACAGGAAGATCAAGAAGCTAACCTCCAGTATGAGTATGTTTGTTACCCTGATGGATGAGAAGACAGTCTCACTAAGAAACTTGGCTCCAGCAGGGATTGAAGCAGTACCCACAAGCCTAAGCAATGGCTGTCTTCAGGATGCTTCAACTGACTTTGAAGAAATGGTATCATGGTCTCCTTTTGAAGATTATGAGGAATCCTTGAGCTCTAGTCCCTTGAGTGGCAACAAACAGGTTTCACAGAAGAGAGCAGGCATCTTCCTGTACTTTTGATGCATGTACATACCATCAAGAAATGCTGAGTATGGAATTGTATCCCAGGAGCCTAACAAAGATTGCTTCCAGAAAACAGTGTTCAATACTGGAGTCAGTGTACTGGCACAATGTGACACTTGACTGCACCCGACAATATGATCCACCACCAGCAAGGCCAAATAAAGGGGATTAATAGAACATCCCTACCAAAACAAGAGATGGAGTGAGTGATGCAGATCTAAATATTAAGTAGGATGTTTCACTAAGATTAGTAAACCACATACAATTCTGATTGATGGGCTGCCACACCATATGAAGAATTTTCTATCCCTTACAGATTCTGGCCATGTATTTACATATGATCTCTGATAAAATGACTGAAAAAAATCTGACCTTGTTTCTAGCTTGCTTTCATAGTGAACTCAGCAACTTATACAAATGTTTATTTGACCAATCATTGCATCTCAGGTTTATATATTCCTGCTTTAGAGTAACCAACAGCAAGAATTTGAAGGAGAAATTGGTTCTTTTGCTGTTCATGTGTGATACAAGAGAGGTCTTTTGTAAGGCTGCATATATTTTTCTTTAACAAATTGTTAGTGCCTTAAAACTTATTCAGAAATGTTCAAGAATTTTGAAATACCAGAAGGATCAATAAACATTCAGAGAAACTATTATAGGTTTAATAAATTCTAATTTAAAATCTTTATATTAAATGAAAAAAGTTGTTCTTCCATTGATATTACTTATACCAAATTTTATGATTCTGATGGGTTGCTGTAGATGAGTTAAGATGAAAAGGAAGAAGAGAGAAACAGTATGAAATTAATTTATGAAATGAATAGTGATTAAGGTGCATAAAATAGGAAGAGGAATTAAGAGCAATACCACATGTGAGCGAGATGATACTGGTAGAGAGGAGCGAGATGACACTGGTAGAGAGGAGCGAGATGACACTGGTAGAGAGGAATGAGTTTTATCATACCAAAATGATTTCCCTTCCCCTTAGGTTCTAAAGCTAAGTGATATTTTTTTGTCATCAAACCAGGGTTGATTTATTCTTTGTTTTATTTATTGTGTGCATTTATCAACATATGTAACATTTGTTTTTCTTTTTTAATTACAGGCAACAATATATAAGTGCACACAATAAATTACAAAAGTAATCAATCAAGGAAAACTGAAGAATGTATTGGTTGAAACTTTAAAAAAAAAAAATAATTCTGAAAATGTATGACAATTTCTTTTGCAGACATTTTGATGTGAGTGAATTGATTTTAATGGAATTTTATAGAACTCGAGAATCTCCATTGTTGAAAAAGAATTGTCTAAACTTGACTAAATATTCCGAAAAATCAATGCAAGGGAGATAATTCCTAGTTTCATGAAGATACTTCCTGGTGTAATTTAAAGTTTACAAAGTTAAATTGCAGGCTGAAAAGTTTGACAAATTGTGTTTGGTTAATGACACTATTACAAATGTTTATAATTTTTTGATGTTTTGTTTTTTTTATTCTTAGTATATGAACATCTTTCACCAGCATGTTTTATAGATATCAAATATGCAACAAGTGGCTGGTATCTTTCATCTGATATACCAAGTTTTACATAGAAAGAGTTTTTTTTTTTTTGGGGGTTAACTCCATTTTCAACCTGATCTGGCACTTATAAAGGTAGAGGATAGCATGAGGGGTCAGGTATTTACTAGTGTGATACAGGGAGCTGATCATTTTACTTGCAACTTTAGTGATGGATTGTATGTACGAGTTTCACTTGAGTTAAGGTGTGACCTCTCAAGGCCTCCTTGAGGGGACATCAGTTCATGGTCCAATCAGTGGTGATGGAATGTAACTAGTTTGGTTTCCAAGGCATTAAATCTAACCAGCCAGTTTTTTCCCCATGAGGAAGTTAATGCTAGATCAGAAAAGAGATCAGCTGTCAATCTCTGATTGCCAAGAATTTTAGCAGTACACACCAGTATATCATATCATTAGCATAGATGTTTACAAAAGATCTGAGTATATTCTTAGATCATTGATGTAAATCAGAAAGAGGGTTTGTCTGAGAAGTAACCTCCAAGGGGCACTTGCATTGACCACCAGGGCCTTGGAGGACTGGCCATTAATACCTATCGTCAGGGAACAGCCTCTTAGGAGGGATTTTATAATTGAGGATTCCATACCTGGAGAGTTTGTGTAGCAAACCTTTGTGCCACACATTCTCAAAGGCCAAGATATCTAATACTATGGTCATTGAGGTGTGTTTGTCATCAAGAGCCTCCCTAAGTCTGTATAATTGTAGTTAGGATGTCATCAGTGGATTGACCTATAAATCTCATTGCACAGGAGGTTGTTTCTATCTAGGTACTCGACAACCTTACTGATTATAGCCTCAAAAAGCTTACTGATGATACTGATCAGATTGATGGGTCTATAAGGCCAAGCATACGCTTGCCTCCTTCCACAGTCTTAGGAAGGATTTCTCCTTTAAACAGCAGGTGAATAACTTTGCTAGGATCAGAGATAATTCTGGGTTGATATTCTTAAGGATAACCACCAGAATTTTGTCTGGGCCAGTGGCTTTCTTAGGGCCAAGACTTTCGATAAGTCTAGAGACTTCTCATGCTGAAATGAAGATATTACTGAGATTGTGCACAGTGAGATGTGGAAAATTTGGGAGGGGATAGCCTTTGTCATGTAACATTGAGTTTGAGGCAAAGATCAAGGTAAAGAGCTTTGCTTTATCTGTTGAAAAAGATATGATCTTGGGGCCATTTATAATAGTGAGCACAGCTGCTTTGCCTCTGTTTATGATTTGGTTGGTGATCTTCCAGAATTTGCAGGATCAAATTTGTTTTTTTTAAATCTTTCAGAAATCTCATAAATCTCCAAGTATTTTGGACAACCTAAATTAGTCTGATATCTCAGTTAGCCTTTCATAATTATCTTCAGACAGAAATAGCTACCAGATCATCACTTATCAGAATACTGACGGCATGTTGAAATTGAAAAGTAAATGAAAAGTGCATTTATTTTACACTTTCACTGTTATATTGTTATAGTCAGGCTTGCACAAAATATAGCCCATGCATCACATGCAGCCTGTTAGACTACCCAGTGTGGCCTGTGAGAGGTTTTCAAAATAGTCAATTTTTGTGTTCAACTGATCAAAAAATTAGGTTTTGTGGAATAACCTCATTCAACCAATATTTCATGGTTTTTCCTCTTAACCCTTATAATTCTGCATAAAAAAGGAACATTTTCCATGATCAATGTGGTCCTTCAAATTTCTTTTAATTGTGAAAACATGCACTAAGTGCTAGTTAGTACATAATGTAAATGCTTGGGTTTCATGTTTCATAGTGTCTTAAAAATGTCACTAAGTTTCATAAAAACACATAAGAATGTCCACAGATAAAGAAAAAAAAAAACCTGGCTGAAACTTTTGGGATAACCATTTCATACCAAAGCTAACAATATATCAATTGGGATGGAACAATTTTTAAGGAGTAATGTAATAAAAATCTTTTAAAAAAAAAAAAAAGAAAAAAATCACTTACCTTGATCCATTATATCCAGGTGCACATGAACATGCATACGAGTCAATGCCATCAACACAGGTAGCTCCATGTTCACAGTCATTCTGTTTGCAATCATCAATATTGTTTTCACAGAAATCACCATCATATCCTTTGGTACATTTACAGATGTATTTATTCCACTTATCAATACAATTGGCACCATTCTTACATTTATGGTACCAAGAAGCACAAACATTATCACCTTTACAACCAAGTACAATATTGTGCCTTTTCAGTATATCATATGCCAAGGAATTTGTGCTATTCCTGTCAGTTAGATTAAATGGAAGTAAGTTTTTATTAATGCGAAGTTCACGTATGCAACCATCAAAACCTTTCCCAACTGATATAACAGTCCTGTTGTTTGTAATTCCATTGAGAAATACAGAGAGAGAAGAATTAACCAATGTAAACATTTGTTCGAGGTTGGTAATCCTGATAGTGAAATTTGTCGGTGAGGTTTCCTCGATGAAGAACAAATGCCAATTACCATCATTGACAGGAATGCTGGAGTTGAAGACATGGTTCTGGTCTGAAAAAACCATGAGAATTCCATCTTGTAGTTGAAGGACAAAATGCAAACCAATATCTGAATTGTCTGCTTTGATAAGGAAGCCTTCACTTTCTCTCGTGCGGAATTCCACACTTAAGTTCTTTGCTTCTGGAAGTTTTGAACTTGCTTGAAAGTTAATGTATGATGTCACATTAAATGTTGCTTCTCTGATACCTAAAATGTTAAAAATGTTTATTAGTACTTCTAATTTTCTGAGAGAAATGTAAAAAGAGTAAAATAAAGTTTAAGACATAAGCAATACAAAATACCATTTTCCTTATTTTACTATATCTCGACACACACGGTATGATACAATGGAACCTGGCCATCATTAGAACACACACAAAGTCAAGTGTGCTTTAAATAATTTTATTGGAGTCTAAAGTATCTAGTGTTTTATGACCAGCAGTAAAGTATACAAAGATATTCAAAGCAGTCACCTACTTACCAAAAAAAAAGAGAGATAAATGAAAATTTCCAGGATTGTGCTACTTGATCAGAAATTAGGAAGCTTATATTAGCAGAGTCACAGAATAGGCAGATTTCTGGGCTGCCCATTGGTGAGTTATTTCAAGCCACCCATGGACAAATTAGATACAAAACAAAAAAAACAAACTTTCTGGCTGAACATTGTTAGTTAAGTCACTATTTGATTACTTTCAGCCAAAAAATATCTGCTTTGTATTGGTTGTGAGGTGCCACTTACAGGAAACTTATAATTCTTTGTTTATAGATGCAAGATTACAAATACAAGCTGTGATAGATAAATTGTCTAATTTACACAAAAATGAAAATACTGACATCTCATTTTAACAGATATATTTACCAAAATTACAAAAAAATACCTTGAAATACTAAAGAGTAAATTTATTCATTAAAATCACCATTGGCTTCAACCAGGGCCTCCAGATGACTTCAGAACCTCTTCTGGATGGTCTTGTTTAAATTGGTGAATGCTGCCATAATGCTTGCCTTCAGTTCATCTTTAGTGTTACAAGAGGTTTAGTTGGTCCCTTGCTCAACTGCACCCCACACATAATAATCAAGGGGGCTGCAGTCTGAGGGGTTAGGTGTCCAGATGTAAGGAGTGATGTTGTCACAGAAATTGTCTGACAGCCATGCCTGGGTTCTCCTGTTTGTAGAGCATGGCGCAGAGTCCTGTTGCTAAACATACAGGCTTCCAGCAGCCACCCTCTTGACCCAAGTCAGCACTACTATTTCAAATCACTTGATGCAGGTCTCCATGTTGAGTCTGAGGCCCTATGGGAAGATGAATGGAGGAATAACATCGCCATCCAAACACCATGATAGTGAGTGATATTTGGTTTTCATCAAGAGGGCTGGTTTTAGGGTTTTACCCTCCAGCCCCCTCCCCCCATTGATATAGGGCCCCCTTCTCTACTACATGTCGATTTCAAAGTTTCCCTGCCTGATAAGAAACTAAGGTACACCTGTTTGCCTGGCTATGGACCTGATAAACTTGGAGGGATCATTGTCAATCATGGCCTGGATCTCACCAATAAATTGAGAGTTCTTTTCTTATCAGAATGATCAGAGTAAGTTTTCTGAGCTTTCCAAGTCCTCTGCACTGTCCTCAGATTGACACCCAAACACTCTAAAATGTTCATATTGGAGCTTATAGCATGAATGCCAAGCAATACAGCATGCTCTTTCCAAATTTCTAGCTGAGTGAATTGCATCATTGGGCCCTTTTTTTCTCACAAACTGTGCCCAACTGACCCTACTATAGTGTGCACTCAACAAAATCAAAAACAATGCACATGCATAAAATTAAAAATATAAAATGGCGACAATTTATCAATCGCACATTGTATATGAAGAGAAAATTACTATTTGGAAGCAAATAAAAATAAGAAACAAGTCAATGAACAAGGTCCCAAGATAATTCAGTCAATTATAAAGAAAATTCGATTCAAATAATGAAAACAAAATTTTTAAAGTCTAAATCTATGAATTTGTATGCCTTAACAGCAACATGAATAAAGATGCAATTACAAAACAAAAATTATCAGAAGACATGCAATGATGCTAAAAATGACATATCCAGATATGAATGAGTGTCTAAACAGGAAGCAATAATTAAAGAAAAATACAAGTGAAATTCTAAAAAATGACATGTTTTTGTGTAACAAAATTTTAATTAAAAACTATGTTTTAATAAAAGTAAACTGGAATAAGTATCTACAATGGTGTGGTCGTTAACAAGCTTGTTTTACTAATTCACAGTGAGTGTAATTTTCATGGATATTTTTAGTTTCTTTTTAATTCTGACAAATAAATGAATACTTATTTTTCAATAAGAAAAACTAATAATACAAATACTTACATTCATAGCCATCTGGTGCATTTTTACATTCTGAACCACCTTCACATTTTACTGATAAACAATAGTCAATGCTGGAACAATCTTTACCAGTGAAACCTCTTGTACAATTGCATCTGTAAAAAGAATATTTATTTAGTGCTAATCTTTGACTGTATATCAAAATCCCAATCAGGTTGAAACAAAATAGACTTTTTAATCACAAACTTTAAAATGTCATTCCACAGCCCAAATAACCTTATTTCTTCCTAACTACTTCTCAGTCTCATGCAAGCAGAGAACAATCCCAGCATGCATCTGTATGTTTCATCTATAAATTTGAAAAGGGGGAAGGTTTTTACAGTCATTGCTAACAGGATTGGACCCAACAACCCCCCACCATCAAATGGATGAGTACACTCATTTCTCTCCCCATATATTTGTCATAGTTTGTTACACCTAAATACAAGGTGGAAAGAAATTGGAAACAGGTGAAATTAAGCACCATAAGGATTGACATAATGTTGCCCATAATAGATAAAAATTTGTGCCATAAAGAGTCAAACTGGCAAAAAGCATTTCTGATCTGGTCAACACCTACTGGTGCATATGCATCTAAGATCAAGAAGAAATGGCAATCTAACCGAGATGGGTTCAGTGAATAGGCAAAGAATTCAGTGTCTAGCGTATGTTTTTGAAATAAAATGCCTTGTGCCACTTCTTTCAGATGCTTTGTGCCCCTTTTTCATCAATAGTGTTGACCAAAATATTTGCAACTTTTTTTTTTCATCAGTTTGAAATCAATAATAACTCTAATTACCATACATAAACTACTTTTCATCAACAGTAAGCACATGATCAAGAAAAAAAAGGCCTTTTTTAAAATAAAGAAGCAAATTTTAGTAAATTTCAAATCATAGGTTTCCCACTTCTACATTTTCTTTACTTAGTTGATTCATTCCAAATGTCTTCCAACTGTTGTATGGACTACCACCAGTTTAACTCTCAATGCTAGAGCATTTGTTTCTAGACGAGCCTCCATAAATGCCCTCAATTCTTCATTGTTGAGTGACAATAACCAGGCTCATCTTGGTGGCCTAGATCACCAGAAGAAAACTTTGGAAACCAACAATGCACAATGCATTCTGAGGATAACTGCAGTTACCAAGCTGATATGGGCAGCTTCAGCAGCATAATGGTCAGTTATAAATTCATGGAGCATATTGACTCAAAAATAAGGTTTATTCATCTTTCATTCATACCCCTATGAATAAAAATGATCAAAAAATTAAAAGAACACTCAAAAGAGGGAACACAGTTTTATATATATATATATATATATATATATATATATATATATATATATATCTCACACAAATAAATAAAAGAGAATGAAGGAAAAAAGAAATTTACATTATGAAACATTAATGACATATCCACAAGATGGTGGCTTTTGAATGATATTCAAATTTGGTATTAAAATCAATAGCAAACATAAAACTGAAGTAACAATAACTATCACTGTAACTCAGTATGTTCAACAACAAATGGGAACAAACATTTTCTCATGGATTATTGAAAAAATGTCGAAATCATTTAATAAATCCAAATTTTGAGAAGATTAACAAAAAAATTACCATGAAATTGAATCACTAACAATTTTACTTCATTTAAAAATGAATTATTTTGTGCTAATTGTAAAAAGGAATTTCTCTCATGTTAAAAACTATTCTACTAATACTTGACTAAAAACTATTACTAATTTTTCTTAAAATTGCAAAATTAGAAATTTTCCTTGAGTGAAAAGTGATTGTAAAATTGAGTGAAGGCATTAGTTTTGTTTTTTTAATATACTTCTGCAAAAAAAAAAAAAAAAACAATGTTGTTAGAAATATGATAATCATTGAGAAATCAAAATCATAAATTAAGAGAATTAAACATTTTGATACTTACTTGAAATCATTGTAGTAGACATTTTCACAAGTACCATTGGCAAGACAAGGCATTTGGCTCTTGCAAATATCATCTGTTTTCTGTCCTGAAATAATATTACTGTAATTGAGTGGCTTCAGGATTTTATCATTTTTCCTTACATTGTTAGTGGTGTTATTGCTAAATGCTAGGAAGACATTGTTTAAATTCATGTCTTGGATAACTCCTTTGAAGGCCAGAATCGAACCTGCACTAGTGAGATTAGCAGCTGCAGATCTCCGTACACGAACATTTTCAGGAAGATCAGCTGGAACTTGCCCTACGTAAAGTGTGGATGCATTAAACATGCAAATGTTCTGCAATGGAATTTCTACTTTCAATTCATCTATACGAAGGTTGAATTTCTGGGCTGTAATCAGCACTTTCAGAAAATGTCTTTGCCCGTTAGCATATTTTTGTATACTTTCATGGATAAAATAATCGCACCAATATAGTTTTGCCACTACCTTGCCATTCTGTAAGAGGAGACTGAAGAAATAAGGTAACACATTGTTGTTCTTCACAGAATCTGGGTCCACAAAGTATGCAATCAGACTGTTTTGACGTCGAGTGGTAAAGAAGAAGGAAAAGTTAAGGTTCGACTGTAGACTGTCTTGCAGAGATACGAGGCTGTATTCAACAAAGCTGTTTGACTCTTCCAGAGAGAATGTTGCTGCTGTCACTTCTGTGAAAGAAAAAGTATTTCGCTAAATAAAATGGATAAAATAAGAAAAAATATCAATGAAATGACCTATAAGCTTGTCTATTTTCAAAGATAGATGAGATTAGCATATATCTCAAATGATACATTAACTAATATATAATGGTAAAAGAGTGCTGAATAAATATTTTTGTTTTGTGGTTTCATTCCAAGATTTTTCAAATATGAACTTTTTAATCATCTAGTGATGTCAAAAATGGTTACATCTTGGCCAAATTCTGCATTGCAGGAACACTAAATTTTAACCAAATATCTGATCATTTTTTGAGCAAGCAAACTTAAAATTCACACCCATATTTCTATCATTAGTTTGAATTAAACTAAAATCTACTCAAAAGTATCTGTTTATTCAAAAATATCAATTTTATTAAATTCTTAATTTCCCCATGAGAATTATTTAATATTGCTGTTCCACTCTTGTCTCATGAAATTTTTGAAATGGGTGCTTAAAAGTGTAATACAATTATTTTCAAATAGAAATTTAACCAGTTTTCAGTGTCATTAGTTCTGTCATTTGTCTACATTATAAATGCAGTATAATGCAATGCAAGTTGCTCAGCATTAAACAGCAGACAATCAGTTATTGAATCATTAATACAAAGGTGTACTGAAAAGGTTTCCCAGAATCTGACCAAAGATCATAATATTTTTTCAGAGGACTTGGTCAGACTAATAACTTTTCAGCATTTCCTTGTTTTGCAAACATTGAGCAGTTAAACTGGTAAATGAAAATTAGCAATAATCAACTAAATTGAAAGAGTCTTCTGTGCTACTAAAATCAACAATTATTAAAAAGAAAAATCAATTTCTATATTACTAAAAACACTGTATTTAGTGAGTACATGTATTTGTGTAGACATCATTTAGACATTGAAATTAATGTTAACCAGTCTAGAAATCATGAAATCCTACTAACAGAAGAAAATTGAAGCTGTATTCCTTTTCCTCATCAAGGAAACAACTTAAGCAAAGTTTGTCTGATCAATTAAACTACAAGAAACAATCCTGATAAAGCCTGGTTCAATTATTTAAGAAATGCACATCTTGCTGGGACCATTCAATATCTATAGATGCTAGTTTCATTTTGTAAACAAAATGCAAAATAACTTTTAATCAATTAATGAATTTTCTAATCCAACATTATATTTTAAATGTAATCTAGCATAAAAAAAAACAAGGCTGAGTGGAAGATTGCATCTGTCATGAACTTGGTATTTGATGACAACACTTATGTCAAAGGACGAATGTTACATAATAATTTCAAGATTAAGGACCTACCTTGTTGACAGATGCTGCCATAAGATGGCCGATCACAAACACACTGGAACCTTATCCATAGGTCAATACATGTCCCTCTAAAGCTGCACGTGCCTGGAAAGCACTGAAATTTTCGATGACAACCTACAGAAACGTTTACCAATTCATTCACCATAGTATTGTTTGGCAAAAGGTATCTGCCATCTATTTTAATATCTTCAAAGCATCCAATATAGGGAACTTTGGTAGAAAGGTTCATTCCTCCATGTATCTTCCCAAAAGACACCTCTCCTGTGGTGGAATGGGATATCATTTGGCTTTTGGAACAAATGGTTGACTGGCACCCAGTACCAGTTAAGGTAACAAGCATAAGTTTCGTATTAAAAAGTATGTTAACTGATTGCCATGTTGCATCATTGACAATAGCTGTTGACACTCGGAAGTAAGTACCATTTATTCCTAGCACTAAATGTGAGTTTTGTATTTCTGCTGTTACACATTCATTATCTCTCAAAGGAAATGAAGCTAAAAAGCCTTCTGTCCAAGTTGTTCTAAATCTGAAGAATGTTTCTGTTTGGTTCATAGGAGGTCTGGTCACTTCTAAACTTGACTGACCATTAAAAGACAATGATGTGGGGATTGAACAATTCTTGCCAGTAAATCCAAAATTACATTTACAATTATAACCATGGACAACATCCACTAACTCTGGTGTGCATATACCATCATTTTGACATGGCCGTTTTCGACATCCAATCAGTTCAACAGAGCAGTTTTTACCACCATACCAAGGCTGAGCATTCCGTACACAAATGCAGTTGTAAGACCCAAATGTATTGATGCAGCTGGAATTTTGCATGCAAGGGCTTTCTGAGAATTTGCACTCATCAATGTCATCACTACAGAAAAAACCTTTATAACCTGGTTTGCAGCTACAGTTATAATAACCAATTGCATCAATACATGTTGCATTGTTCTGACAGGCATGATTCGCACAATCATTGATGTTTTCTTTACAGTTAGTACCTGAAAAATAATTTGTTTTAATAAATTATCATTACTTTGTCAAATAGAAATGCTCCAAAACATAAATTAAGCTAAATTATTAATTTTCAGAGTACAGACTTCATTAAAAATCATAAGAATTTAGCTGTGCAGCAAATCAAATCCTTTATGATAGTTTGCCATCAAAGAAATGTTTAACTCTTAGTTAAGACTTCTTTCTCTTCTGATAAATCTCATATAAATCATTTGTCATTTGATGCTCTAGCATCAACTGATCATGCAGTTCTATTCTTTATGAAAGAGAGTATTGAAAAGTTTTCAGATTTTTAACATTTGGTTGGGCCAAGGATATTTCAGCACATGCACACACATTCATAGCCCAACACAGATATTAGTTGAATTTTGAGGTAAAATTTATACTGTATAATGTTCAGTTAATGTGCTGACCAGGAATTATGTTAAAAAATTAATATTTGTTGTATAAAAATAAAATAAAAATAATCAAATTTTCATTGTTTTACCAAAGGGCTTATTGATATACATCTATGATAGCAGATTTTCTTAGGCAAGTCAATAGTTTTGCAATAAAATTTGTATTAACAAACAGACATTAGTAAAATATTCAAGATGTTCTTATATAATAAATATCATATTATTATGTTTTATTTTTAATATTTACAATAATTTATTTGATTGTGAAATATTTTGTGAAGTAACTTTAGTTCAGTTTCATATCTGAAATGTAAACAGCAATTTCTAAAGAATTAATGGATTTTATTTTTTAATCTGACATTTTTGTTACTTCAAATATTATTTTTAGTGGATAGCTATATTTGAGCAGTATTTAAAACATATTTTAAACAGTATTTATTTCATCTGATGGAGGGCACATCTTTAAATTTTCCTTAGTACACTCGCCGGTAGACAAAGTAAATATTGTTTAAAATAAATGGAGCATCAACTCAAATATGGGTATCCACTAAAAACTAATGTTTTAAGTAATAAAAATGTTAGATTAAAAAATAATATCTATTAATTCTTTATAAATATATACAACAGTATAATTCATGATATTTATTTTTTTTAATTTCAGAGAATTGTGAATCACTGCCTTAAAAGATAATGTGTATATGAGAATGAATAATAATATTCAAACAAAAAAAGATCTCTGGGAAGCAATAAAACATGCTGCAAGTAATATTAAGGTCAAAACAAAAGTTAAAAATCAATGAATGAAAGATTTATGACTTATAGAATGTCAAAGAATTATATATAAACATGTAAAATATGAACATTTATTCAGGTATATAGGAGACTGTGTTAATCAGATGTTATCTTTTGATATAAAAAAATATATAAAAACTAAAATTTTATGTTACACCTGGTTTGCATAAAATGTCACACTCTCAAAACAAGTTGCTATCCATATTTTTAATAAAGAGAGATGTTATAAGCTGAAAGTCAAAGTATATGCTAATATAAACATATTCAGAATGTTTAAACCATCAGTTTGTTAATACCACTTTTATTGTTAAAACATTGACTTAAATAAAATCTGGCACATTACATGTATGTGTACATTATAAGTGGATGTTAAAAAGTTATTAGCCCAAAATTTAATCAAACATTTTTTTTTTTTTTTAGCGAGGGGAATGGCTTCTTGGTTAGGATGAGCACCAATATGCCATGATGGTTGACAATGCAATGAAGAGATTGGACATGGACAAGCAAGCACTTGGCAAACCAATACCACTCAGGCATTAGTAATAGTAAACAGCTATCATAACCACTGACAACTAATTAGGGCCAGTTAACTTATATATATATATATATATATATATATATATATATAAATAATCTCAATATTTGTTGGAACAAATGTCAGCTTTGGCTCTCAGAAAGAATCAATCTCCTTAACTTAATGCTAATTTGCTCATGTAAGTTAAGAATTATTTACATATATAGGAAAGAAGGTGTTTTAGTTAAAATTTTCAGTTTAACAGAATTGTTACTAACCTTCATATCCCAGCTTGCATAAACAGTAGTAACCAGTTGCATTACTATAAGAAAATTTTGAAAAACCAGGATAGGTAGAATTGGGTCCATACAATGACCGGTCTGAACGCTGAAAGCATTTGATAGCATGAATGCAAGGCTGTTTAGCACAGTCATCAATATCTTCCTCACATTGCTTGCCCCTGTAACCTTCATGGCAGTTACAAGAATATTCCTGTGATAAAAAAAAAAAAAAAGGTAATTTTTTTTCAAATCTATTTACAAAAACTAAAAATGTCAGATTTTGTATACAAAAGTAAACTAAAATTATGACAAATACAATCAGGATCAATATGTTGAGTAGTCATTTTGTTTCAATACATTTAAATTCAGTTATTTTTAAATTACATATTCATGAATACATTCATTATATTTGTTTACATTTTTAAAGAATCATACTTATGAAATAAGATAATACTTTTAATAATACCTATCATTGCATGACTTCAGGTTTTTTTCCTTATAAATCTAAGGATAAATCACATAACTAAAGCCAACAAGTAAAGAATAGCATAATTTACATTTAAGAAAGAAAAATCATTATTTTTCTTAATAGAGAGCATTAACATATTAAATTTTAAGAGATCAGAAATGTTATAGTTAAATCAAGTAAATCTTCCCTCAAATCCAGGTATCTCTCTCACTAATATATATATATATATATATATATATATATATATATATTAATGGGATTGGTTTAGCTAAAAGAGAGCTATAACTATAGCTCACAGGCAACTTTGAGGGGTATATATAACCTTTACGACTACTAAGTTTGATCATTATAAAATGATGTCGCCTGACAGAGCTCTGTTCAACACAGAAGAACCTGAAAACAAAGATTTGGATAAAATTCTTTGAGGCAGATGCCAGAATAAAGAAGTTACAAGATGACCAAACACCTGGAGGACAGAAAAAAAAAAAAAAAGAGAATCACAGATCTATTTTTGGCCACTGCAGGATGCGAAGCCATTAGGCAGATTTCATTAATGAATTACCTGGTTGAAATTGAAAACTTGAAATTTAAGGAAATCAAAGAAATAATATTGAGAAATATTCAACCAAAGAAAAAATTGGTCATATCTGAATGAACCAAATTCTTAGCACTGAAATAAGAATTTGGGGAGTCTATAAGGAAATATCTAAGAAGGTTTAGAGATAACAACAGAGATTGTGAATTTCATGAACGTCCTAGTTCATGAAATAAGCAAGGAATAAGCACAGAGGAAGAATTAATTCAACTTCGATTGGTAGAAGGGCTGTACAATACCTCTCGGAGAGGAAAAATTTTAGAGCGGTTACAAACAAATCAAATGACTTTAAAAACTTGTATTGAATTCTTACAAGAGGAGTTAATTGAAAATTATGGACACTGGACACAATAAAAAAGAACAATGATAAAATGCAGATGTTGCAACTATAAACATGAATCAAAGAGAGAGAAATGTCCAGCATGGGGACAGACATGTAATAAGTGTAAAAAGAAAAATCATTTTCAAATCGTATGTAGATGGCGCGATAACAATCTACAAACTGTCGAAATAATACACAATGATTTAAAAAGTCAAACAAATGTTATTTTAATAGAAATGAGGAACAAAAGAAAATCCTTCATGAATATTTAATTAAACGGTGTAGACTTAAAAATGCAAGTTGACTCTGGAAGTGAAGTGATCCTTATTCTGAAGAATTTTGGAGAACAATTATTGAAACCAAAATTAAAGAAAAGCTTAGTAAGATTAAGACAGTTTGATGGAACATGTATAAAAATATTAGGATCCAGGCACTTTTGAAACAAAAAAATAGAATTGCAACTTTTATGGTCGTAGACTGTATAAAAAGTCACAGTTTAGTAGGAAATGATTTGATAAATATTATGTTTACTTAATTCGGAAGTCCCGAAACTGGGATATTAAAAAACTATAAAGCAAGCCTTAAGTTAAAAAGAAATATCAATCCATCGTATTTTGAAAGCCGTATGCTTCCCTTTCACATAAAGCCAATGGTAGTCGATAAGCTGCGAAAAATGGTGGAAGAAGGCATTCTTCAATATGTAGAACCTGGAGACAAGAAATGGACATCACTCATAGTTTTAAGGAAACCTAACAGTGATTTTAGAATTTGTGTGGATTACAAAGTAAGTGTAAATCATAAGACTTGTTCGGATTCCTACCCTATTCCAAACATAGAAAACATAAGACATTCTCTGGCATGAATGAAATATTTTATGAAAATTGATTTAAAAAATGTGTACCACCAAATTCAAATAGATGACAAATTTAAAGACATCACAACAATAAACTCTCCCATAGACTTACTTAGATGGTCTCGCTTACCATTTGAAATTAAGACAGCCAGCTTGATAATAGAAAATATGTTAATTTATCAGGACAATATATGTTTAGGTGTGGCCAATGAAGAAGAACTGAAACAAAAATCTAAATTTGTAATGGATAAGTTGAGGAAGGTAGGAATGATGATAAACAAAGATAAGTGTATATTTAATTGCAAAGAATTAACATTCTTGGCTTACCAAATTTCAGAAAACAGTACTTCACCAAGCCCAATGTTAATGCAAAAAATATTAAAATGTATCTTCTCCAACTAATAAAAAAAGAATTTGAATCATTTCTTGGATTAGCCAATTTTTATAGCAAATTCTTGTCAAAATATTCTGAAAGAATTTAAATGTTTTCTGAGTTGTGAAAGAAGAATAAGGTGTTTGAATGAACTAGTACACACCAAACAGCCTTCATTAAATTAAAAGTTATATCTAAAAAACTTGTGGTCAAGATTTTTTACCCTAAAAAGGACATTACATTAACCATAGATGCAAGTGGCCAGTCTATATTGGCAATTTTATCCCAGGAAGGACACTCAATGATGTATTTTTCCAGGACAATGACACCAGCTGAATTGAACTGCTCTAATATTGAAAAGGAAGCACTTGCAATTGTATGAAGTATGACCAGAGTGAAACAATTTTTATTAAGAAAAAAGATTTTGTTGAGATCCGATCATAAGAATTTATATTCCATCCTAGGAAGGAATTGCCAAAAGTTACATCATGCAGAATATTAAGATATGAAGTTAATGGCTTTTGATTATGATATAAAATATGTGAAGGGGAACATGATACCACACACAGACACATTGTCCTGACTACAATTTGAAAAGAACAAAACGAAAAAACATAAAAAAAAGTTGAGGATGAATTTTTGCATTTCATAGAAACAATGGAGACATTACAAGACCCAGTCTTCAGTCAAATTTTACCTAGAATAAGGAACAATAAATGGAGTAATTGTTCAAAAGCAGAAAGACCATACAAAGAAACCAGACACAAACTATCAATAGAAAATAGTCTAATTTGTAGTGTGGATTTAGTGGTACCACCAAAAAAAATGTAGAAGTAATTAAAAGTGTACATAATGATGTGCATTGTAGGATAACCGCTACACAAGAAAAGGTTAAAACTGGAAGTGTGGTGGCTGGGACACACTCAAAATGTGAAGAATCATGTATGCAAATGTCCTAAATGTGCAGAAATAAAGAGTTTTCGCCACAGTAAGTTACACTCTTGATCTAAGGAAACTGAACCATGGTCTAGAGTTCATATGGATCATGCACAAGTTAATAAGGTAGGTTTATGTCTAATACTAGTTGACACTTTTCCAGCTGGCCTGAAGATTTCTGAATTCAGGATAAAAAAAATCTATTACTGTAAAACAAATATTACACATAATATTTGCTAGAAATGGAGTACCAAAAACATTAGTAACTGATAATGCTCCTGAAGTCTGTGACGAAAGTCTATACTCATGGTTAAGGAAGATTGGCTGTGTCCTATATAAAACACCTCCTTACCACCTGCAATGAAATGGTCCAAACAAAAAAGATGGGATTGAAAGCATTTTCTTCTCAGCAAGTAAAGACTGAAACTTTCCTACCAAGATTATTGTTCAGCTACAGAATGACATGCTGATCCATCTGCATTAATGGGCAGACAGATTAGAACTCCATTAACCATGTCTTACTCTATTAATGAAAACATATGGTACAAAAGAAATAAAGAAAAACTAGAAAAGGCAAATTTCATAATGCAAAAAGGATACAAACATGGCATTAATATGAAAGAATAGTGAAAGAATTGTTGCCCAGGCAGACCAGTTAAGAGCTAGCCAAAATTATGTGGAAGTACAAAGTGAAGCTAGTTTGAATAATTATGTAGATGAACAAAAAAGCAGGGCAGAAGAATCAATGGACAATCAAAGTTCTTCAGAAGACTGAGTACAAAACATGGGACACTGAGAGAAAAAAAAAAAAACCAAATCAAACCCCCCAATTGCTGGAAACCAGTGGGGCTGTAATTCAAATAAGATGTGAAAAAAAAAGATTCAAGATGTAATGGGATTGGTTTAGCTAATAGAAAAGGCTGGTTTTATTTGTTTAAAAAACAAACATACAAAAACCCACAGTAAAAATGGAAACTAATAAAAAATGAAAACATGTAAATCTCTAAATGACCCATTTCCTTTTCAAAACATGAAAAATATATTATTAAGTTTCTGAAAAATAAACATTTATTAAATCAAAGAAATGAAATAAGTTTTTTGTAGACATTGTATTATATTTTCTTTAAAAAATAATTAAGAAAAAAAATTTGCATAATTATATCTATTATTTGATCAAAAATAAGAAAGTTTGAAAATGTGTAATTTTAATTTTTAAAATACCATATATATTTTAGTAGTAAATATAATAAAGATAATATTTTAGATCTTTATAAATAAAAATATAAATATAAAAAATATAACTTGTATATTTGAATGCCCCTTTAAGAAAATATCAGTGTATTTTACAAAATAAAAAATAAATAAAAATGCCAGTTGTATTGTAGTGTATACTAAAAAAAAAAAACAGACTGTGACAACATGTTCTCATATGAAGAAGCTGGTATCAACAGACAGAAATTTCAAACCCACACCTAAACTTAACTACCTTTTACTTTGCCACCTTAACTACATTTGTATCTTAATTCATCAAAAAAGCCAACACCTTAAGAAAAAAAAAAATTGAATTCTGATTCCCCCAAGGACTTAAACTATATAATACTTTTTAGCTTATAAAAAGAGTAAATCATTTTTTGAAAGTTATTCAGCATCAACTGAAAATGAAACTTTAAATTTTAAGTTTAATTTAAGATTTAGGTTTCAAAACATGGAAATTTCTGTCATGCTGAATACATATTTTTAAATAATAATTATAATAACTTTGTATTGAGAACTGTTTTTAAAAATAAAATCCCAAAGAACTGTGGATGAGAAATGACTGTTCTTTCTTTTTATTTTGAGATATATATATATATATATATATATGTATTACACACACACCTTTCTCTAAAATTCTCTCTCTCTCATATGTAACAAAAATATTAGAAACAGAAACTAGTGGTAACCAGAAAGGTCTTTACAAATTTCACTTATTACACACAACACTAAAAGAAACTCCACTTAATTTAGTTAATATAGTAATGCTTGTGATCTTATTTTTTTTTGTTTAACTTATGGGAAGAAGGTAAAGTTGCAAAGATATCAATTTAAATATTACAATCACATCATTTATATTACAAGGGATTGCTGAAAATTTATTGGCTCAGCTCACTTCCCAAAATCTGAAATGACTAAACATCAGATTGGTGGATGGGGTGGAACTGCTTGGTAAGGCCAAAAATATTTCAGTTCCCCTCATATTATACTATTTCTTTGTATGACAATTATACTTTTCTACCTAAGTGTAGTATATGCCTAGTCTATGGCCCTCACAAGTTGGAATCAGTTATGCTTTTTGAACAGAAAACCTACATATTATTAAGGAATTGGAAAAGTGAAAGAGAAGGTAAGAGTATATGAATGAGGAATGGTAGGAGGTAAGAAAGCAAGAGAAAACTTGTCTTACAAGTCATTACTGTAGAGTTAGATTCTCACTAGGTGTCTCCATTCTTTTGGCCATAACTAAGCTATGCTTAGTAAAAAGATGAGCACCTCATCATATTGTAATAGTTAGCAAGCTTAGTAGTAGATTAATAGAAATTAGTTCAATCTTCACTGGTGGGACCATAGTTGTAGTCTTGTGCCAAACTAAGCTAAGATTAGTAAATAACTGTTCACTGACCAATTACAACAGGAGGATTTACCTCCCTTTAAACATTTTTTTTTATTATTATTATTATTATATCAGAAAGTACCAGAATTTGTTTTATTTTTTTATAAAAAATTTTCTCAAACCATCTGCATTTGATTTATTTTTTTTAAAGGGCAAGAAAATAACTATAACTTGAATATTGACACTTTGCTAACAAAATCAACTAAAAGGAAAAATAAAAGGTAAGGTTGTCTGGTTTGCCAATAGACTTGCAATAACATTCTGGAAATTATACAAAATTGTGGGGTTTTTTTCTTGTTTTAATTTAAGTTTTAAGTTATAATTTTCTTTTTAAATTATCATAATTGTAGCAGAATTGTTCTAGACAATAAGTATTGCTTATCAGTAAGCTTGAATATACTCAGTATTTACCCTAGACCTCCTCACAAAGCAGGATGTGGCACAAGGCTGGGTTTTAATGTGGGGGTTACCTAGCACATACACTCGGGCAAAAATTTATTTTAATAAAAGTGAAACAAGTTAGCAATAAAGGTTTTGTATTTGTTCTTTATCTTATCATTATGCCAGATTACAATACATATTCAATCTAAAAACTCATAAATATATAGATACATTTTTTTTTATAAAAACCAGAAAATTACAAAAATGATGAAAAAAAAAAAAAAAAAGAAAAGAAAACATTGCAAATATTTTATGCCTGAGCAAAATCTGCTAATAATCAATAATTTCACAGAGAGATAAAATTTAATTCACCTTTATTCCATCAATACATGTGCCATTATTTCTACAAGGATTATTAACACAATCATCAATGTTTGTCTCACATAAATCTCCCCGAAAACCTGTGTCAGAACAGTTGCAATGATAACTGGAGAAAAAATAAAAAAAAAAAGAATCAATTTTTTTTATCTGAAAAGAAAAGATGATTTTTTTTTTTGTTTTTAGAGACATACAACAGACAAAAGTTTCTTACTTCAGATATTTAATGCTATAATTTGTGGATATAAAATGTGTGTGTGTGTGTTATTGTTTTTTATGAAGAAGTGTGTTTTATATATATATATATATATATATATATATATATATATATATATATATATATATAAGTATGTATATGGTTATGTATATGTGGGTTTATGTATAAATATGTATATGGAGATGTCTGTGTGTATAGATGTATATATGCATGTTATGGAGTATGGTTCTGTGTGGATGTATTTAGGTGTAGAATATGTATGGGTATGTTTTTAATAAGTAATGTATACAGATTATGGTATTCTATATATATATATATATATATATTAGATATACCACTTTTATACTAGGATGGGTTATTATGTTATTTGATAGATTCATATATAACTATATAATTGGGTGAGGTGTAGACGGTTATGGATCTGTATATTGTGTATTTATTTATCATATATATATATATATATATATATATATATATATATATATAATATATAAAAATAGTGTATGTGTAGATATAGAGATACACATATATAGTACTCATATTTTGTATTGATGTTAACCATGTGCATTATGTATTTATTTTTTTTGTGCTTTTAGAAATTGGTAATTTCCATTATGATAGTCATTAAAGCAAAGATAGAGAGTGGTTAAATATGTTTGACCAATTTGAGTACTATATGTTAATTTATATAAAAAGTTTCTCATATAGATACAGATACTTGTTGAACTTAAATCTGTGAACTTTTAACCTTAGTAGATATATACTAGATCATTCAGATCCTATTAGCTTTACTTATTTTTTTAAAAATCTCTTTGTATCACATTAAACTTTAGTAAGTTTATTTAAATTATAAAAGTTTTGGAATATTGCTTATTTCATATGCTTTATATATCTAATTGTTTCTTTACATAAATAGATTTTATTTATATGTATTTTCTTTTTATTAATTATTTATGGAGAATCTCATGAATAATTATATATTAGAAAACACATACATACATATATATATATATATATATATATATATATTATAAATATAATATATTTAAAATATGATTTCTTTCTTCGCTACACAGGAATTAACATGTTTCAAAAAACCAAAGCTAAAATTTCAAATTTAATTATATAATTGAATTAAAAGCATTAGTTCTGTTTCATCTTCAAACAAATTTTGGAATATTTATGCTCTGTAAATTTACATTGAGCACTGTTTTGTAAAAGTAAAAATATCAATGAACACCAGATCATATATCTTACTGTTCTTTCTTTTTATTATAATATATATATATATATATATATATTAGTTTTATTTTTTTTTTTTTTTGAATAGATCTTTTATATGTCTAAATTGAAATCTTTAGCTAGGGTCTGAATATTTTTTTGAATGCTCTTCTTAGCCAACCACTATTTTTAATATAATATATTAGATTTTTTAAGTTAAATACATATTTGTCAAAATCTTAACTGAGGAAGGATCCAAACAGATTTTTGAATTTACACTTAAAATCTTTTCCAAATGTATTTTCAATTGCCAATTTAATGTAATGATTTATGCCTACAATCCGGCTGTGAAATTAGGTCACCACCAGAGTTAATACAACCAAGACGCCACACCATTTCCTACCCACCTTTCTACACAATAACTTAACATCTTTCTTTCTCTTACTCTGTCTATATGAAATCACTACTCCTAATTATTAAGCAGAGTAAATTTTTCCATTTTCATTTGGTTTACAGGTCTGAAGATTTGAAGCCGTGTCTTATTGACTTCAATGAAATAAAATATTACCTATGGTTTTTAAAGTGTTTGTCATTATATAAAAATTTTTTGGTCTGTCTTTTGACAGAGCTCACAACAGATCTAAATCCTGTTGGAAATTCCATACGGATTACCAATAATTTTATTATATATATATATATATATATATATATATATATATATATATATATATATATATGTATATGTGTGTGTGTGTTTTAGGCAACAATCCCTCTTTTATACATGTTTCATTAAAGATGACACAGATTAAGCTTTTGTTTAATTTTTTTGTTTTTCATTGTGTTTGAACAAGTTTTTTTTTCTTTTCTGGACTCAGAGTGTATAGAAACAGTTCAAATGTCTTGTAATTCTGAGCACATTTGGCTATCCTTTTAGTCATGATCAAGGATTTTATTTTTATTTTTCAACTGGATGTATGAGCTGTATGTATGTATCTAGTGTTATAGGGATGTTTTATTTTCCGAATACAGTCAGCACATTGTGGCTGTGTTTGTAGTTAATATTGAGTGTTGGCTATTTCTTTTTTATTATTAGGGCTTCCATTATTTTTTTATCTGTTTTTTACATGTAGTTGAGGTTATTATGCTTGTATTTTCTACTAGTATGTTTCAGATTGATAGATTTGTGTGTGTATTTAAATGAGTTCTAATGAAGCTGTTGTCAGATAGGTGTAAGTCATCTGGATAGGCATATAGTAGTGTAACCAATGTAATTATTTATGAGTAATTTGGTGGCCAATGAGGTGTTTAGGAAAAGCATTGTCAACTAGTGTCTGTTTTGTATTGTCAAGTTCTTAAAAAAAATAAAATAAAAAAATAAAAAGACAAGAGGATGAATTCACATGTGCTCTGGGGAATTTTTTTTTAGTACTGCTATTTTGTATCTGCATGGGCATTCACTATCAACCACCAGATTAGACTGTTTCTTTCCAAATTAAATAATTTGGATACTAAACACAGACAAAAACAATAAATATCTTATACAAAAGCACATCAGCTATAAACAAAATGAATCTTCATTTAGAAATATCAAAGAAATTCAACTAGGGTAGTGTATTTCTTTGATATTTCTAAGTGAAGATTCATCTTGTTTATAGTTTATGTGCATTTGTCTTTTGTAGAAGATAGTTATGCTATTGTGTTTGTCTTTGTGTCCAATATTGTTGTTATTATATATATATATATATATATATATATATATATATATATATCCCTACATCAACTTCTGCATTTCCTTTCAGTGCATAATTAAAACAAATGTTTTCATTTACATTTTCCCACCTCAGTCATATATAATTCCATCAATAAGAACCTTATTTTAGGCTGAATGAAGTAATGTTAAAGAACTGAATGCATTACATTATTTTTTCCATAACACACATTAAAACCAATAACTGATGTGTTTTTATCGAAGTGTCTTATATTAATAAATATAACTGCTAAGAATGATATTTCTACAAACAAATTCAAATAATCAAACGATATACTATACAACATTGTGAAAAAATAAATAATTTAAAAATAAAAGATTTACATTTTTAAAGAGACTAAAACAATTTAAAAAAAATGTAAAGCTAAATAAGATCTTCAGTTTTGAAGGCAGGTTTATAAATGTATTTGACAACATAAGAGATACATTTAGCCAAGTAAAAAAAAATCAGCATATATATTATTTTGTGCAACATGGCAACACAAGGAATCAAATGGTAAATGCTGAGTTTTAATGTATTTAAAAATAAAATGTTTTTCCTGATTTTGATAAATGTCCAAACATACAGTTGAAAGTATTACACCACAAATGTTTGAATAATACTCACTTTCATTGGATACAGGCATTCAATTCTCTTTATGCCTTTTCATTTAGTACGCTCATCTTTGTTTTTATACCCACTTGCAAAAACTTTCAACCATTGTAGCCTCACAATTGCTGGGTAATCAGGTTTTAATCAGCTAGGCCAGATGTTATTCAGTGGCATAATCTTTTAGCCTAAGACAATGTCTCTACTCAGATGGAAAATTTTAGTGTCCTTTCTTAATCAGGGGATTCCAGGGAGTGTACTCTCTATGCTAGGTCTACTGAGGAGCTTGTCAGAGACTTTCAGTCATCTTATATATGAATAGCTACATCCGATTTCAATATCGCTCCCTAACTTTTGATGTTCCTCCGCCCATACTTTTATGGGACAGTGAGTCTCACCCTTGTATTTTTTATCACAACTTTATGGTCTGGGATACACAGTTCTTGGCAATGTTGTCTTCAAGGAGGGTTTCAGGGGACATAATTTACAAGAGATATCTCCAAAGGGTTAAACTGGTTTTCAATACTGTCTTGGCATTGTATGGACAGTAGATCATCTTAAATTTTTCAGATGTTCTACTCGTGAATGTTAAGACTATGGCAGATTCTTTTTTTTTTTTTTTTTTTACTGTTGTCCTGAACTCTTGTCTCTGCTCACGAAAGCTGATGTTATGCTTGTGAGGTAAAAACAATCTACTCCTATGGATTGAATAAAAGGATTCAGTTTAAAATTCTGGATAAGCAGCAATCTTTCATTAATACAAGTTGTATCAAAGATAAGCAAAAAATGTTCCCAGACTGAAGAGGATCTTATTTAATTTAGGTCTTTGTTTTGTCGCTAATAACCAAAATCTATTTTTCAGTTGACATTATATAGCATACATGTGTTATTCAAGTGTTAATCGCATGCCAATGTAGATGTCATGACCTCATGAACTATTGGTTGATGCATGTGCAGGTAACAACACTTTGATCTGAAAAGTGACAAATCAGTCTATGTGAGAGGGGTAGTGTAATCTGAGCAAAATACAAATTAAATTATTTTTTTTGTGAGGCCCAATCACCCAAAAGGCAAAAGAATTCATAAAATTGGTTTCATTTAACATAATGCAGTAACAATAAAATTATCTTTTCAATTTCTTATAAATAAATTATGAAACTTATATGTCAACCATGATCAGTAAAGGTATGTTTCTATGTGATATTCTGAATGGCTGTTTCATCCTACTTGTATATTCTGGTGCATTTAGTTGCAATAAAACAAGTTTATTATAATTATTTTTCATGTTGAGTTCATAGGTCAGATGGAGGACTATTTTCAAAAGTTTCATTTAAATTTTTTTATTTATCAAGTTTTTCAGAAAAGACAAAAATATCAATATATCAGACATATATTGCAAATGCAATTAAGTTTTTTTATGCCTATATGATACAAGGAGTACAACAAGACTGCTGAATAGAGCAGGTTTTTAGCTCATCATCATTATCATCAGTCCCATGACCAGGTGGGGTCATAGGGTTGTTTTACAGCAGGTTTTGGGCAAATACACCTGACAGAGCCAATCCTATGCCAGCTCAAACCACAACTGGTGTTCTCCAATTTTAAGAGTCATGAACACATGGTCATTGATTTCATCAAGGAAAACCTCCACCTTGGCCATTTTTATTCTAGGAATCCCTACACCAAACAATGCTGTATCATTACCATACTGGCTGTATACATAGCTATGGAGGGGCATCTCAAGGTGGTGTAATGGTTAGCAAGCTTGTCTCACTAGAATTATTAGGACAGAGTAGTGAGTTCAATCCTCACTAGGTGCCCCTTACTTTCAGCCTTGTGCCACATCTGAGCTACGCTTGGAAAATCACTACATAGCTATGGAGTCCAGCTTATCCAATTGTGCCAGATGACCAGATGAGTTATATTGTATTAGTAGCACCCATAAAGTGACACAACAAAGTTTGTAGCTACAGAATACTATTTTTCATCCTCAGTCAGACATAAAATACATTTTTACCAATGATGAGCCAAAGCATGACACATAAGTACCAACACCAGCAGGGAAAAAAGGCACTTTTTCAGACATATCACTATTGTTGAAATGTATTACCCACTATTTAGGCTCACATCCACTGCTCTCTCTAAACATTCAGGAAGCACTGATGAAAGTCAATAGGTACCTTTTTTTTATATAGAGGAATTCAATGACACTTCTATTTTGCATGCACTTAGATGTCATTTTGCCCAACACTCAACTTGCTATCTGTAACAAGTCAAAAAAAATTTTATGTGTTACTGGCAGAAATGTTCAACATCTACTACCATATCACCAACATCTGCCTCCAACATCATGAGCCAACCTATAGGACTAGAGGAGACTACTTTCAGAGTGACTTGTGCATAGGTATGCATAAACATAAATGATTAAGATATTGAAAATATATTAACAAAATTTTCATTTTTGGCAAATTATCTTCTTGAACCTCACATAATAAATTAAAGTATTACAGGATCTGAAACGGTTTCAAAGGAACTTTATAAATTTTGCTAGTGTAATCTCTTGGGTACAATGAGTTAAAGCTAAGAGAATACAGCATGCAAGAAACTGAGGTTGAGCATAAATGAAGATCAGCTGTAATGAAAAGTGGAGGGAAACATATACTAGAATGGAAGGGCTATCACAATGACACATTAATTATGCAGACACAAACACCAATAGAACATACCGTAAAGGATCATCAAGATGACGCCTGGTGGGGCAGAAAAAAAAAAGTTTTGGGAAAAACATTTTAAAATTAAAATGGACATAAAACAATGTGTTTGACAAGTTTGGTTTCTATGCTTTGATCAAAAACTTGTTAGTCAAAATAAAGTTAAAATAAAACTTACTAAATCTATTGTGGTACACCAAAAATAATATCTTTCATAAGTATTTCTAATAATAAACTAATTCCCTTTATATTCTCTTGGAAGTGACTTTACAAAAACATTTATTAAATCTAATTGTGTCTTTAGTGCTTAATGTAATTTTTTTTATGTAATGAATTCTTTAACTTCCTCAGTAAGGTATATTTTGGCAGCAAGTATTTATCCAAATAAGTTTTATTAGAAATTCAATTGACAAGGTCTATTTTATTTTTTATTGTATCTTTCCAATTTTTAAATAAAATGTTGTATATCAGGATTGAAATTGTGGATGAAATGTGTCTAGTTCATATTTGTTCTGTTTTTGTTTAAGTACTTTTGACTGTCTCAGTCATTATCAAAAAACATGCAGCCAGTAGGGAAGATTCCATTGGCTACATCATTTATATAGAGCTGAAAGTTTGAACCAGCCCAAATTGATATCATGTGTAACAGTCAAAGCTCGCAAGACCACACTGGAAGAGAATTTACCAAATATTAAGTATGGTATGTATTAGAAAAAAAAAATACTTCCAGATTCTATCTGCAGTTATAAAATATTTTGTACTTTATTTAATGTGGATTGTCCATTTTACATGATAATATAGTAACTTTAACTACTGATCTCTTAATTTTTCAAATTCATATTCTGAGCTGATTTTATGTAATAATTTGAAATAGTTCCTTAAAGATACTTATATTAACAATGGCGTTGACTGGTTGATATTGATTCCTGGTTCAATAGTTGAAAAGAAAAATATACTTTGGTTTCTCCATTCATTAACTGGGAAACATAAGTTTATCAAATTTTAATATGAAAAGAAAATTTTAATATGAAATAAGAAATGAAGAGAATTTTAAAAGGTATAAACAGTAGGAACAAATTACATAAGGAAGTATAATTTTGATCATATTCAGAAGAGAAGATCAGGAGGTAGGAAAATGAATTTACTTGGTTTAAATGATTTGATACACTCATTATGGCTTTGGAATCACAAATACCAGCAAATGTGTGCTATATTAATGAACGGGTGAACACTTCCTCAATATGTTGGTGGTGATGTAACAACCTTTAATAAAATTTAAGTCATTTAATGAAATATTTAAGGTTTTTTAGCATGTTTTTTTTTTTTAAATATCCAGACTTTTGAATAATTGTAACATTGTTCTGTGTTTGTGTTGTATTAAGCAAGAACATTCGACTCTAGAGAGTATTTCACATGTCAACTTGTTTTGTCTTGTAATCTTGCATAAACACACTGACAAAATAAATTGGGTTATTTTGGTTAAAAACTAAATGGATAACCACAAAGTTTTACTTTCTATTATTCTAATTTTGATTATTTCTTAAACATTTGAATTTTGATAGTTTTTACATTATTTAACTTAAAGAAATCAGAATAATTGCTAAAATATTCTACTGAGCATGGTTCTAAGTCATTTAATATTAAGGTTACAAGCATAAAAATCAGTAAAAACTAAATATCTAACAAAACCCACTGCAATGAACATAAGCTTAAAACTAAATTTTCTCATAAGAATAATTTGAAATAATAAAATGTATGCAAATTTAAATTTTTTTTACAATTTATGGCTGAATTTAGCATGAGCCATTAATTTTCTTCATTTGTAAAAACTGGGATAAAAATATTTCATGCATCAATATAAATATATCGTGAAGAGTCAATGACTATGTTGAGAATAAAAAATAGTATAAATTTTACAAAGAAATAACTGAGGAAATTTCAGCTTTAGAATAGCAATGTAAACTTACTACAAAACATAATGGGAAACACAAATACAGAGTGTGATAGGTAAATTGTCGTCATTTTATATTTTGCATGTTGTTTGTGTGTCAACTGCAGAGTATAGTAGGGTCAGTTGGGCACCACCTGTGGGAAAAAGAGCACCATGATGCAATTCACTCTGCAAGAAATTTGGATGCTGCACTGCTTGGCATTTGTGCTGGAAGATCCAATGCAAACATTTCAGAGTGTTTGGGTGTCAATCTGAGGACAGTACAGAGGATTCAGAAAGAATTGAAAGAGTCTAAAGGTGATTACAAAAGTACAGCATATCAGAAAATTCACTCTGATCATTCTGATAAGAAAAGAACTCCCAAATTTGTCGAGGGCCTCAAACTCAACATGGAGTGCCTTGAAGAGGTAGTACTGCCCCGAGTCAAGTGGGTACCTGCTGGAAGACCCTATGTCTGGAAACAGGACTGCACCATGCCACACAAGCAGGAGAACCCAGACAATTTCAGTAACAACATCACCCTTTAAATCTGGCCACCGAACTCCCCAGATTGCAAAACCCTTGATTATTATGTATGGGGTGTAGCTGAGTGGGAGATCATTAAAACTCCTTGTAACACCAAAGATGAACTGAAGACATGGATTATGGTAGCATTCACCAACTTATACAAGGAGACCATTCAGAAGAGTTGTAGGAGATTCCAAAGATGTCTGGAGGTCATGGTTGAAGTCAATGGCGATTTTATTAAATAAATTTCCTCTTTGTGTAAATAGATCTGTTAAAATAAGATGTCAGTGTTACTTTCATTTCTGCATAATTTAGACGACAATTTATCCATCGCATTCCGTATATTTCTACTGACAGCTCAAGAAATCCATTTGATAACTGGCAATATAAATTAGAGAAGAGTGTTGTATTGTTAAGTAATGTCAATCCTCCTATATAAAAAAGCCAATCTCATAAATCCAGTTTTAAAGAAAAAGCATAAAGGTTCACCAAACTGAAACTTTAAACATTTACTTTAAATTTTCTATTTATTTTATATATATAAAAACAGAAATACCTAGGAAGCGTGGGAAACTAATCAGTTGAAATGCTTTGAAAAGAGAAAAAAAATGGACATTAACAGCTAAATATCAGTGAGCAAATAGTTTTGAAATGGATACTTTTAGAATAAAATGATAAATACCCATTAAGTAGATCTGTACAAGTGCCATTGTTTTGGCAAGGGTTGGAGATACATTCATCAATATTCATCTCACATTTCTTGCCTTTTGTACCATTTGGACAAAGACATGTGTAAGAGTTGACACCATCAACACAAGTGCCATTATGCATACATGGTTGGTTGACACAGTCATCAATGTTGGTCTCACAGTGACGACCTAAGAAAGAAAGAACAGAAAATAATTAAAAAGAAGATTGATTGATTGATTGCTTATTTGTTTTACCAGCCCATCAAAAGCCCTATGGGTCATTTAATGCTAAAACTGGATTTTTCTTCAGGAATGTTTCAAAACATTTCAAGTGGTTGTGAGGTTTTAAAATTGTTTTCAAAACATCACAAGTTATATAGTTTGAGAGTATTTCAAAACAACTTGTATGGTTCAAAATGCAAGCTCTATTTTCTATAGAAGTTGGAAGTATTTTATTTTCTTCAGATATCCTATTATTTGGGCAGTAGGTACATTTTTGATGTGCATGTTAAGATTTTGAGCTTGGTAATAGTTGCTACGTATTTTTTTGTACTGCTTAACATTCTATCAAGATATGCTTGACTGTGAGAAATTGGTTGCAGTGAGTACACTTGTAGCTCAGCTGTATAAATGGATGCATAATTTGGTATTCTTGTTTGTGAATTTGCTTGTGGCTGCTGCACCTATTCTAGATAAGATTTTTTATCCATCTGAGTAAAATGGTTTATTAGTCATGATATTTGTCTCTTAATTCTCAGTATATGCTTTTGTTGATTGTATTTTTTTGTTTTTTGTGTGTCGATGTTAGGTCTATGTAAGATTTGGAGATTGTCCATAGAGATACGTTATTTATTGTGACTGGTGTTACATTATCAAGATCTTTGTTTATTTGTTCTAGTGCTTCTTTGATTTGAAGACCACATGAAGGGATTATTGACTTATTTCTGTAGAACTGAATATATTGAGGTTCACATATTTTTTGGTATGCTGGGTTATTTGGGTTGGATTGTAGTTTCAGTGTATATTGGAGGGATAAGTTTTCCTATCTCAGAGTTATAGGTGGTTCATTAGCTTCTATATAGAGACTTTCCATAGATTAAGTCCTGAAGGCTTTGAGACAATCTGTTTTTTAAGATTGAATTTACATGTGGCACTGTAAATAATGCATCTATAGTCTAGTTTTGATCTGATGTGTGACCTATATATTCTGAGCATTACTTTTTTGGTCAGCATTTTTGTTTAACAATCAATGTGTGCTTTGAAGTTAAGTTTGCTATCAAGTATGATTCCTAGATATTTTATTTGTTGGACTATGGAAATTATATGAACATTCAATTTTAATTCTGAAATGAGGTGGTATTTTCTTTTTTGCAGAAATGCATACAAACAGTTTTTGTTTTGGAGAAACAGAATCTATTTTCATTTGTCTATTTTTCTATTTTAATTAAACATATTTGTATATATCTTTCAAGGGAAGGCGTGTTTGAGGAGGACTATAATATTGAGAAATCATCTACATAGGCATTTGAGTGTATGTGATAAAATGCTATCTTGAGGTACTCCTGCCTCCTGCTTGTGTGTGTCTGATGTTGTGTTTCCATTTTGCACTTTGAATGTTCGGTTTGATAGAAAGTTTTGGATGAATATAGCCATTCTTCCTTTTATTCCCATCTTGTACATGTCTTTTAGGATACCATACTTCCATGGGGTGCCACAGGCTTTTTCAATATTGAAGAATATTGATACCACATGATGACCTTGAACAAAACCATCATAAATAAAGGATTCTAACCATACAACCATACAACTAAACATACAAGATGCTCGTTGATTCCTTGGTTTTTCCAGAATCAACTTTAGTAACTAGATAAGAGATTGTTTCTCTCCAACTACCACATTAGTAAAGCATTTACTGTTCTCTTACCGTGGTCTTACAAATGCAACTTTTAGTGCGATGGGTGGGTAGTTTGTTGGGCTGGAATGGTCTTTGCCAGGTTTAGGAATTGGAGTGATGATTGACACAAGCCATAATTCTGGAAATTTGTCTGAACACCATATATCATTGAGGATTTTGAGTAGTATTAAAAGAGACTCTTCTGGCAGGTGTTTTAAAAATTGCTAATGGATTTCATCTGGACCAGTTGCAAAGTTTTTACTTTTTTTATGGAGTATTTTAGTTCTGTCATAAGAGAATATTGTATTCTTCTTTATTGTTTGAAGTGAACACAAGTTTCTCTTTTTCTATAATATTTCTATATTTTTGAAATTTGGGAGTGTAGTGATTTGTTGAGGAATTTCTTTGAAATTCTGTTGCTATTAAGTTAGCTATTTCTTTTTTTCCAGTGCATTTGTTTCCATTTGTTTTAGTTAAATGAACTGTTGCAGTTTGTGATGCTTTACCATTAATTTTCCTTATTATTTCACATTTTATTTATTGGGGTTTTGTTTAATTTGGAGATGTCGTTTTTCCAAGTTTCTCCTTTGAATTTTTTTTATTTTATAATGTGTTTTTTGCTTGCGCTTGCTTGTAGTTTTATAAGTTGATTAAGGTTGAGTTGTATAAGAATATCTTTTTTTTCCTGGTTTTAGCTGCTTTGAATTCTGCGAACCAGGGTTTTGATTTGGTATGTGGTTTAAAGGAATATTTCAGTATTTTTGTCTTGCTATTTGTGTTAGTATGTTTGTAAAGGAGACTATTGGTTCTGGTTCATTGAGAATTTTCATGTTGATTTGGGATGAGCAGAGTCCATTGAATGTTAGCCAGTTAGGTGTGTGTGGTTGCCATTTTGGATTCCTTTCTTCTGCCATAGGCTTACTTATATTTATGAAAATAAGTGAATAGTCACTGTCGCATTGGTCATCATGAACTTTCCATTGAAAATCTATAAAAACTGATGGGGAGCATAAGCTTAGATTGATAGCTGATGTTGATCAGGTATCTGGGTGTATGTATGTGTGATTTGGTTATTAAGGATACATAAATCAGATGATTATAGTAAAGATTCTATAATTTTACCAGTTTGATTGGGGTTCCTACAGCCCAATATTTTGCTGTGTGCATTAAAATCACCCATTAGTAGATATGGAGTGGGAAATTGTCCAATTAGCCTTTCTATTTCAGTCTGTGGTTTGGAATATAAATTGAACATATAGTTATTGTTTGATGAATTGAAGCTTTTACTGCCATGTAGATTTGTATTTAATTGAAATTTTTCAAGTGATAGTGATTTTTTTAACCAATATTGAAGTACCCTCACTTGGTGTATTCTCTATTGTTGATACTTTGGGGTAAGCTTCATATCTTTTAATGGAGATGTTATCAGCTTCTTTAAGAAAGGTCTCCTGCAAGAAAACTATATTTGGATTGTAATCTGTAAGGAGTTTTTTGATTTCCTCATAGTTTGGTTTAACACCTCTACATTTGCATTGTATAATGCTTGTGTTCCATTTGTCCATTTAAGTGGGAATTATTTTTATTTTTGTGAATGGTTCTTAAAGATAAATATGTTTTTGGTTATCAATTTCCATATAATCCATACTTCCTATACTGTATGTTTTCCTTATTTGTGAACTTGTTCTTCACTGAGTATTTGTATGTTCTCAATTATTTACGTTCTTTTCATTTTGTTTTGTTGATTATCTATATATGAGTGATTTGGTTTAATTTACAGCATATCAACCTTAATGGGTCATTTAATGCCAACAACTTTTTTTTTTCCTGGTAATATTCTTGTTTTGTCAAAAATCTATTTCTGTTAATATTTTTTTCCTCAAAAATCTATAGCTGGTAATTTTATTTTTCAAAAACATACAGCTGGTAACATTTTTTCAAAAACGTATTATCAGAGGTCTTGCTGTTGGACGTAGTTTATCATCATTCCCAGGACACCTATATGTGGGTTGTTCTGTTTATTTGCCTTTAATTCTGTTTCTTCTGTTTTTTTTTTGTTTTTTTTTGTTTTTATTTTGATCCTGTTTTGTATTTAGGTTTGATTGGTTCTGTCAGTTTTCTGTTTGGGGAATTTTTCATTTGAGAAGTTTCAAGTGTTTTTTAGTTGAAAGGTGGTTCTCAGTAAATTTTGTGTTGGATTTTCATTGTTTGTGGTTAGTTTTGGTTGGGATTGTTCCCTATTTTACAATTGGTTTTAATGTTTTCAATATGTTTTTTATTAAAAATGTTAGTTCTTGTTTTTCATGTAATTTGTTTGATATTAAATTTTCATGGATATAGCTTGATGCTGTTTGGGTAAATTTTGCATATGATGGTGTATTGAAGTTTATTTCCATGCTTTTCTTTGCTTCTGAGAAAGGTATGTTTTTGGTATGTTTAATTTTTAAAATGTCTTTTTTCCATATTTTGCAGTCCATGGAAGTTGCTCTATGGTTTTCTTTGGGTTTTTTTTTTTTTTACAATTAGGTTATTTTGTATCATTTGAGCATGTGATCTCCATGTGATTAGGATCATTCTCTCTACATTTCCCACATTCAAGCTTCTGGGTGCATCGATTCTTACCATGTCCATATCTTTGGTAATTGAAACATTGCAACTGGTTTGAAATATGTGTTTCTACTTTGGAAACTGTATATCCAATTTTTATTTCATTTTGGTGGTTCTGGTGCATCAAAAGTAATGATACATGTGTTCTGTCATTCTTTTTTTTTTTTTTTTTTTTAAGATATTTTATATCTATGTTCTGTGTGTGTTTTTTTTTATGGAATTATTGTTTTTAATTTCCTCTAGTGGACACAATGAGAGTTCAGTGCTTCTCATTATCCTTTTGGAAGAATTTAAAAATTTGTGTGGGTAAACCTTTACTTTTATATCATAAAATTTGGTCATGCTTAGTAGAGTTTCATGTTTTTCTTTTACTTCTATCAGTAGCATATTATTTCTAGTTTTTTTCAACTGTTTTTGGAGTTATCTGAGATGCTATGATTTTTTCTATTACAAAAGGTGACAACTTCATTATTAGTTTGTCTTCCGTTGGTTTTATTACTATGAATTTCAAATATTTTTTCTTTGATTTTCTGTGTCACTTTCTGTGTCTGTATCAGTGTGTAGTCTTGATTTTTTTTTTTTGTGTTCATATTTTGTTTATTATTATTCATCTGCCATGCTCCCCACCTGCCTCTGAGCCCCATGTGGGGTAGATAATGGGGGAGGAAGAGAAATCCCATTCACCTCATTCCCCCAGGGCTATATGACTGGTATACTCAAATGTGGGGGAGGGTTCCAAGAACCTGTTATATCCAGGATCATTCACCCAAGTATGGGTTTTCCTCAGAAGTTGAAACAGCCATATCAGATTCCTTTGCTCCGATTGACCTTACAACCACCACTTACTAAGTCAGTTTAATATTTGATATGGTAAATGTGAGCACATAATTTTTGTTTTGTTAGTCTCACTTAGGGCTTGACATGACCAACTGATTGATTGGATCGGGCCTCTTCAACCGCCCATCTAGCTCAAGTAAGGACCAAAGTGGTGTGTTGGAGTTTAGGAGTATATGTATAACCCAACTCCCAACATCCTCAACCACCAGGATCCCATCCTCAAGCATCACAGATCACCACCAACAAGCAAGCATATTGCCCCTTGCAGGACTTTTACCTCCTGCAGAGGTTCAGTTGGCATATTCTGAAGCCCCGCCAACATGGCAGTAATTAAAAGAAGGAGTTTTCAGATATTTTATATTTTCTTCAAACATAACATTAATACTCTTTATAGTCTGAGGAGACAAAAACGCAAGAATTAAAGACAGTTTCATAAAAAAGTACAGAACTTATAGTTTATCAACTAAAATAAATATCCAGCAATGAATGAGTAAAGTTACAGATTGGTTTATTATTTTTACCCTTACCATTGAGAATTGCTTCTAGAGCTACTTAAATCACAAAGTAAATTTGATCTAAAAAAGTAAACCAGATGAAGGAAAGTGATGACCATGAGAACAATAAAACTTACCAGTAAAACCCAAAAGACAGTGGCATGTATATTTGTCTAATGTTGATGTGGGCAGACAAGTAGCATTGTTCTTACACTGTTCCTTAATTTTACAATAGTCCAAGACCACTTCACAATTACGACCTGCAGCAAGAATAAAAATATTTTAGAACAATTTATTAAAAGACAAAACAACAAACTGGAAATATAAGGAGAAAGAATCAGAATAGGCAGTTAAAAAGTTCAGAACAATATTGATCATCTTTTGAGACATTTTCATCAACCTTTTTGCAACAAAAAAATCTAATACTTTTAATTTACATTACACATAGTACTGCTCATTGCAATCCCAATAAACATTAAATGATAATTCTTGTTTACTATGGCAATATAACAAAGAAAATAATACTGAATTGCCAAGTAATATCAATCCTTCTGTATGGCAGTGAATACTGGACAATTTCTTTACAGGTGAAAAGAAGACTTGAGACAACAGAAATGTGGTTCTACAGAAAAATGAGAATACCATGGATGGGTCAGGTGAGAAATGAGGAAGTTTTAAGGAAAATGGAAACAAAAAGAATACTCAGGAGGTAGAAAGTGGCATTTGAAATTTTTTTGAACACATAATGAGAAAAGAGTGCTTGGAGAATTTTACACTCACAGAAATTGTTGAAGGTAAGAGAGATAGAGGGGATACAGTAAATAAGCTATCTAATAAAGTAATGTAAGTGATTAGCAGAACAGGGATTAAGAGGGATAGCAAAAAGATAAAAATTACTAAGAGCTAAAAAGGATAGGAAGTTGTAGGGAGTTGTGATTGCCCACATCCTGAAGAGACACAGCACATAAAAGATGGTAATATAGATGACTGCCAAAAGTCATTAACATTGACAAATCTTACCTCCATAATAGTTACCACCATCTTTACCAGAGCTGTCACAGTGGCAAGTGAAGTCACCAGGGTGATTTCTGCAGGAACCACCATTGAGGCAAATGCCATGATTGTTGATTCTAATGTTGCATTCATTGATGTCATGCTCACAGTGTGTACCATTGAATCCAGTTGGAAAACTTAGAGGAGGATTACTGTCAATTTTGGCAATTTTATATCGACATTTACAATAGTAACCACCATCAATGTCCACACAAGTACCACTGTTCTTACAAGGTGATGAAAGACATTCATTTATGTCCTCTGAACAGTTCTTACCAGTTTTGCCTTAAAAATAAATATAAAAAAAATAATTTTCAGGCATAAAAAAATAATTTTCAATAATTAAGAACCATTAATTTTTGAACAGCCTTTATAAGAGTAATATGTCTTACCAAATTTACATAAGAAAAAAGCTTGATGAATTGGATTAAACAACAGAACAATGCAATGAAACTAGAGAAAAGAATAAAAACCAGAAACATTTCTAAAATACACTTTTCATTATTATTATTCTCTTGGAGGCAAGAAGCAGTAAATATGATGAACATAAATTAGGAGTCATGCCAATTCTGCCATATTTGCATGCAAATTATTTATGTATCTTCAGGAAAAATGTTTTATTTTTAGTTTTAAATAGTGGCTTATTTTTTTAAGAACTGATAATCAGCTGATAAAAACTCCATTGTTATGAAAAGATTTCACTAAAACAATATTCTTTACAAAAAGAACATTTTTTTTTTTATTATTCTCCATCTTGTTTAAAAATCATACATTTTTGTAATGCTTTAACTCTTGAAAGATAAGCATAAGTTATCCGTGACCAAATAATATTCTAACCTCTCTTATGTTGTATATTTTTTTTTAACTAGGTTAGAATTACAAATCAGCCAAAATTTATTTTCATAAAAAAAAAAAAAAAAAAAAAAAAAAAATCAGGAAGAGATTCACAGTTAGTAACGTAACTTGTAACACTAAAGGTAATATAGTTCAGGAAGTCAGTATGGCAATCATTATATACACAAATATACTAATATAGTTGGTCTGAAAATAGCTTGGATAATCATTAAAAATATCACTTATTGTAACTTTTAAAAAAATTACATTAATTATTCTAATTAACTTGCATTTTAAGATGTTTCATTTGAAATTATTTTTTCTAGCATTGAAAATCATTTTCTCTTACATTACCAACTCATGAATCAATGAATAAAAAAAATAAAACCTTTATGCTCACCTTTTGGACATGCACATTCAAAGCCATTGATATGATCATAGCATATCTTGCCATTAGTACAAGTGATATTAACACAATCATTAATATTCTCTTCACAGTTGACACCTGTAAAACCAGAAACACAGTCACAGGAGTAGCTGTGACTTTTCAAAGGAGCAGTACAGTTACCATTATTTTTACATGGAGCAAAAAAACAGGCATCATAGACATAGGAGCAATTAACACCCATCCAGTCATCAGTGCAGTTGCAATGGTAACCATTAACAAGATCTATACATGTGCCTTGGTTCTGACATGGAGAGTCTTGACAATCATCAATATTAGTAGAACAGTTCTTGTCTACAAAAGATAAAAAAAGCTTTTAAATAACTGAATAAATGCCATAAAAGGGAATGTAAATCTTGCTCTTTTAAATATGAGCCACTTCTATATTTGAAGAAAACTTCTGCCCTTATATATAGAACTGAATATATAATGAAATGAAAGTCATTATACAGTCAAACCTCTCATCTATGGACATCCCCCCCCAACCATCACCAGACTTCGGTTGCAATGGACAAAACCTGCAGGCAAGATAAAAAAAAAAAAAATCTGCAGGAAAGAAACGTCCAAATCATCAGCGATGTATTTCAAAATTTACGGGCTTAGTGGAACAAGTCATTAGTTCTCAAAGTGAACGCTTGGTGGCAGTGGGGGGGGGCTTTCAATTGTAAGCAAAGATGGGTGTACAGTATATAAAGTACAATACATTAGTGTATGCGTGAGAAAGTAGTTGTGAGAAATTTATTATTTTGATTATTATATCTATATTAAGTATATATTTATTTATGACATATATACATGTTTATAGTATTTACATATGATCATAACTAGTAGTCATTACTATAATGGTTTTATAACTAAAAAATAATCCCTTCTAATCTACGGATAATTGGCTTTAACAGACCACCGCATCCCCCTATTAGTCCTTTGATGAGCGGTTTGTCTGTACATGTACAATACTAATTTTCTGACATCCATAATTACAAAATTACTAACATTTTTATGGATCAATGAAGATTAGATAAATACTAACTCATCAGGAAGAGATTCACAGTGAGTAAAATCACTTGTAACAAAGGTAATATGCTTTGGGAAATAAGAATGGCAAGCATAGTAAGTATATACTTCTGACCAACCACTTCATCATCACTTATAAGATGATTTCTTTTCAATAGCTCAACTTCCTGTTGAGTTAATACAAATAAATATTTTTTTGTTTAGTTTTTTTAAGCCAGTGCACAAGCTCAAATAAAATCCAATATTCTGATGGTCACTAATATTTTAAATAACTGCTGGTAATTTTGTTTGGTGACAGATAGAAGTACTGTACTCCAAGATGACAAAATATAAGAAGCATAATTAAATTAAAAACAAATATTTCATGACAGTTATTGACACTATCACATGATTGAATAAAACAGGTGAGAGATCCTAAGTGACAATTCCAGAGCAAATGTAAAAGTTTACAATTTGTTTTTAGTTCAATATGTTGTTTGGGACATAGTTTGCTCTAAACCAAATATATCTAAATTTTGTTGAACATTGTAAGAATTTGTATGAGTCCATCATTGACTTATCTAAGTCATCACTTGTATGGAATAACATAAAAAATATAAGATCAAATCCTATCATTAATATAAATCAAAAGCTAGGATAAAGATTTTTCAATTGAACTGTAAACCAAAATAACAATACAGAAATGAAGACATTAAAAAAATGAACTCTACATTAAAATAAGTATACATTTCAAAAGGCAGTTTTATTCTAATTCAACATCTGATTTCCCTATTTCCCATCTATGATTTACAAATATGCTCAAAGCTAAATGTTACAGTGATAACTTAAAAATTCAACATCTTTGAAAAGTTCAATATTTTAAGAGTTGGATTACTAGCTAAAAAATTAACCTGAAGAAGGCTGGAGAATGGAGCAATTGAAAGAGGAAAATGCTAAAATCAATAACATTAAGACAAGTATAAAATTAATAAAGCAATAATTATTCAGAATTCATAATGATTTAATAAAAAATATTTTTACCTGTGTACCCAGCAGAGCAAGAACAATTATAATCATTGGATAAGTTGGTACAATTGGCTCCATTTTGGCAAGGTTTTAAAATGCATTCATCAAAATCTTTGTCACATCGTTCTCCAGTCCAGCCCTGTACACAGTCGCATTTAAAGCCTTGCACCTGTAGGGGTTAAAAAATTCATTTTCTCTAATCATGCTCATCAGTATGATTTTATCCGTCTTTCTCAAGATTAGATTTTGTGGGCAATTTACAGTAACATATACATGCACAGCATTACTCTCACTTTTTCATGACAAAGACAAAGCACAAGGAATTAAGGCTTAATGTAAAAAAGAAAATTTTAAGGTTTTTATGCAATGAATGGTTATGTTTAGTTTGATACATGGCCAAATGAAAGAAAATAGATAAGGGTAGAAAGCAGAGCCAGTGCTAGGGTCACATATGCCCCCTCCCCTCCTCAAAACTATGATACAGGAGACCCACTCTAATAAATCTCAATTTTCATAAAGTAGTAATCATATAAAATATAAACCATATTTCAACTTAATTATGTACAATACCATCCTATATATATGTGAACACCTCAACTGGAAAAATTAATAAATACAAAGTACAAATTAGAGATCTACCATAATGGATCATTCCATCTTAAATAAATCAACAATGTTTTGTAGCAAATTTAATATTAACATGAGATTTTTTTTCTTGATAATATAGCAGAAAAAAATAAATACACCTCTTACAGTTTCTCTATAAAATGTTAAGTTTCTGTTCAGATAAGCCAAATTCACTTTTCATTGCTGTCCTTGTACTGATATCTGCTACTCTCAGCTTTAGCAGAAAAGGAACAACTCCTGTATTTTTCCTAAGAAATATCCATGAGGACTGCCTCTTCAAGTGACACTCCAAAATCTTTATTGACAAAACTTAATTCTTCCATTCAAAATCTTTCTATATGAGAACCAGCAACTAGTGGCTACCTTCAATATTCTTTTATAAAAAACAGTAAAAGTGCAGAAGATGATGCCATAAGTGCTGAACTTATCAAGTATAGCTCAAGGTCTCTTTATCTGCAGATTGCTAACGCATTCAACATTATGGCTGAAAAATAGAGAATTTCACAGTGCTTCTTTCAAGACTTAACATGAGCAAAAACAAAATATTTCAGTTTTTTTTGTGTTGCCTTGGACAACTGAAGAAATTTACAACTCGCAATTTTCAAATATGTACTCTTAGGTGTCCAATTGAAGAGGAGTACATTAGTGTTTATTTATTTATTTTTTTTTTTTAAGAAATTTTCTACCAAACTCTGACCATCCAATTTATTTATTTTTGTGTTCCCCACCTCCCAAAGTTCAAACAGGAAACAGTAATTATTATAATTGGTTTAAGTTTTTACTTGCATACTTTTATGATATCCACACATTTGTTATGATTGCTTGAATATGTTGTATAAACAAATTGCTTTATTTTTTATGTTGGACAGCATGATTTCTTGCACTTTCTGATAAAATGATGGCACACAAATGGAATTTTAATTTTTATGTGAGTTATGCAATTCAATATTTAACTTATACAAGCAATCACATTAAGTTGTGCCAGGGCAATCATATTAAGTTGTCATCCAGCTTTTTGAAGGTTGTCCTGATGTTATATGGACCGCAGATCCTTTGTATTTTCTCTGATATCTCCTGAGCCGACCAAGCATAGAAATGAATACAATATAGGAACCAGTAATAAGGAATGCCAGAGAAAAGCAATAACAACAAAAATTGCAATATGAGCTCTGGTAAAAATATGAATGATAACAGCAAAATTGCAATATGAGAACTGCTAAAAAATGATTGAAGACATTAGGTTTATAATACCCAGAAATTCATACATAGATATTGTATATATCCCAAGGACACATGCCACAGTGGATAAAGGCGTCAGTTAGATCCAGTGACAGGACCCAAAGAGTGAGAGTTCAATATCCGATTAAGGCGGTGGAGAATTAACAGAAGATAACTGGTAACTGACAGTCTACCCCAGTGAGCGAAATAAAGGGTTCAGTTCGACCAGCTGAAGAAGGTCGGAGTGTACAACAATAAATATGGTGACAAAGATGAGGACAATAGTCCAAATAATGTAAATAGTGTACATAATACCTCATCTTAGAAATATGGACAGATACATTTTAAGTTACTTACCATGTCTGTGCAAATGCCATATACACAGGAATCATTTCTACAGTCATTAATATTAACTTGACAAGTGCTTCCAGTGAAACCAGGCAGACAATTACAAGTGTAGTTATTGATGCCATCAACACACCTGGAATAAAAAAATGTAATATTTATAACAGAAAAACATAAATAATTGCTTAGTAACATGAATCCAACTGAAAAATTGAAGCCTAGTAAATGAAACAATTACACATGATATGATTTCAAAATTTCAAAGTTTTGAGAAAATAGAATGCATATGTAATGAGATATTACACATTTTTAAATTGATCTTAAAGTAAAATTTTATGTCTGCAGGTCACTAGTTATTGTGAGTCTCCAGACATGATTTATTCAAACTAGCATCCTTATCTTGGTTATTAGGGCCACAGCATTTCTGATTTTCTCTGATCTTCAGATGCCTGTTGTATTCAGTAACATTCTCAGAATTTCAAGTCAACCCCTTTTATTTATTCTATGAAGCAGACTGTTCTTATTCTGTTGTCCATGCTAACAGAGGTAAATTTGTATGAATTCTTTTTACTTAATATGACCTTGTGATGCCACTTCAGCTTGTTCTTCTGGACCAAAGTATATGGATTTCATTGCCTGATGCAAGAACTGAACTCAACCATCAGATAAGTGTAAACACTTAACCAATACTTATATCCACTAGGCTATTGTCTCAGATCACATTATGGAATTTTGAAACTTTAAAATCTAATATCTGTTCTTTCCTATTTAAAAGTATAGTGTTCAATTCTCTACAAGGCTTACTGAGCAAGTTATTAGAGCATATGCACTATCTCATTCCATCTCCTCACACCAATGTTACTCTATCTCAATCAGATGAGAACACAATCAAGAAATGTATGCATAGAATAACATGCAACTATTATGGAAAATGTAAAGGTGAAATTGGATGCTCCCTAAAAGTAAAGCTGGAAGAACATCAAAAAGCTGAAATCCATAGAAAAACAATGAAGTTAGGTATACCTGATCAAGTACAGAGAGAAAGGGATTTTCTAGCCCCTGTGGAATGAATTCAGGATGTGAGATAGTGTAATGAAAATAAGGAGACTGAAATAAAGCATATTTCGCTCCCAATAGCACCATTATTACAATTAAAGAAATTTTAAATAAATAAATTTGAAAATAACCAAACTGAGAAATTATATACATAATGGATTTGTTCCTAATTATCAAACATCCAGACTGTGCATAGTGATTTCGTTATTTCTACAAAAGAACTTTCTTCATAGGAAATATCATAGTATACATATTCCATTACACTTTCCCAACAGAATTACTATTGTCACAAGTTAACTTACAGATCAAGTAGTAATATGACTGCAATAGAAAAAAAACATTCATGGTAAAAGAAAACCTAATAAAGCTGGCATATACTTTCTCTTTCTTTGTTTTTGTAAACATACAATGCAACCCTTACTCAAACTTTCCATCGACTGGCCAATGATCATCCCACATTGCATTCCAATTCTCAATCTCATCAGTGTACATTGAAAACTAAAGAAAGGTGTGCTGCATGCTCACAAAGTAACACAATGAAAGACAAACATGAAGAAATAAGAATGCAAACCCTGCTTCTCATATCATATGCAGGTGTTTTATACATGGCTTTTATTCTGCTCATCTGGATGGGGAGGGGGGTTACTGATACTTGGGACAACTTCTGTTATGTCAGTTCTTCCCCCTACTGACTTGTCACCCATCTACTCAATCCGACATGGTGGCTTGACAATACAAATAGAGGCTTTGGAACTGCCAAGGGCAGACCAGACCTCTCCCCAATCTCAAGCATGACTTAATATAGAACAGCAACTGGATATACTCTATTTCCAATTTTGTTTTCACTTAATCACTAAAAATCACTTTACTCCACATTCCCTTTTAGTTAAAGTGGATGTTGCTTAGAAGACCAAACATCAAAAGGATCCATTTGCTGGTCTATCAATCAGAAACACATGAGATCAAGATAAAACTGCCTCTTCCTCAAGTGGGTGTCCATAGTATCACTTTATTAATATGTAAATCATTGTACTTTAGTGTTCTTTACTTGAATAACAAAAAAATGCACTGTAAACTTTCCATAAATTCTGCTAGGCTTACATTTAATAATCATATTCAGTAAACTTTTATTCATGGTTTTATGTGACTATTCAAGATTGAATAATACATTAGTAGATAAACAAATGAACTTACGTGGCATTGTTGTGACAAGGGTTTATGTCACATTCATCAATGTTGTTCGTACACCTGTCACCATTAAACCCTGGAGTACAGCTACATTTATAGGCATTTTCCAAGTTCTGACAAGTTGCATTATTATCACAAGGATTGGAAGCACATTCATTTATATCTTCACAAGCTTCAGGAGGTCCTTTTAGTGATGCAAAATATATATTTAAAAAAATAAAAAGTCTTATTATCAATTTTTTTTTTTTTTAATGAAAAAAAAAAAAAAAAAAAAAAAAAAAAAATATTAATCTCTTCATCTAAATAAGTTGCATGGTTCAGTCTTTGCAAAAAGATTCATTTTTTTTTTTTTGTTTTCACACCAATACTGATGTACCCAGCACCTTCAAAATGGGGATGGGTCACATTTTGGTGAATACAAAAATGAACATCAAGTATTATTTAAACAAGATGTCTGTCTGTCAAATTTTGTTCAATAAACTGAACTTCTTTGTTGTCTTAATATTACTACAACATTTATTAAAAAATATTTTGTTTAAATATATATTTATATATATATATATATATATATATATATATATTTTCTGTTTTATAGTTACAAATATTTAAGTAAATGCTCTGTTTATAATAAACAGTATTAACAACATTTACTGGCCTGAATGTTAATATTGAATGTTAATAAACAGCATTTATTTAAATATTTTTATCTATAAAAAACAGCATATAAACAGAAAATATATTTAAAAAAATTGTCGGACTTAGTCCATTTCTTTAAATAAAACATTATATCATCATCGATAACGCAAAAAAAGGAGATAAAAAATTTGTTATATTAATGAGTTATCAAAATTTAGACAATATGGTATCTATTTTTTTTCTTTTTACTAGTGTAAACCCAATACAAAGCTCAAGAGCCACTCAAGCTATACAATAGTTAAATTTTCAAATTTAATAAAGTTTTTCTCACTTTGATGTAAACAAAAATACATCAAAGGAGTGAACAACTTTAAAACAGCTTTAAATTTTTTCACAATATCAAACATCATGGCTTACCTGTGTATCCAGCTTTGCATTCACAAGTGAAATTATTAATTTGATCCACACAAATGCTGTTCACCCAAGGACAAGAATTTGAACCACAATCCTGAATGTTAATTTCACAAAAGGTTCCTTTGAAACCAGAGGCACAGTGGCATTTAAAGCTATCAATCAGGTCCTGACAGTTTCCACCATTTTTGCAAGGATGCGACATACATTCATTAATTTCCTGGAATAAGTAAATATAAATCAAAACAGATTTGGCAAAAGGAAAATACACTCTGCTAATACAGCAGTCATAATCAAACTTATTATTAACAAATAAATGTGAATATCAGTGTGTTGGTGTGTCACACTTTTTCAACTTTACTCCCACATATCATACCATTTTGGAATCAGGCTGACTCTATGAGCAAATTAAAAACATTCTAGACTGGATCCAGACCCACAAACCTGAAATTTTTGGATTCCCAAGTTTTTATTACTGCAATTGCTTTCGGCAATTTTTTTTTCTTTTTTAATGATTTTTTGTAATAAATGTTTTTGTATGATAATTTTTATAACTTGGAAATAAATCTTTTAATAATTGAAATTAATTGGGAGATAGAGAACGAGGGAGGAAGAGAGACAGGGAGCAGGGGGAGGGAGGAAAGGAGAAGGGGGAGGGAGATAGAGAGTGAGGGAGACGGAGAGCGAGGGAGACGGAGAGCGAGGGAGACGGAGGGAGACAGAAAGCAAGGGAAGGAGAGATAGTATGTGTACTTATATTTAACAACTGAGTTAAGTGATTTAAACTTGTGACAAAAAAGGAAATGAGCTCTTTTGGTGAAAGCTTCCATTGGAAGATTTCATGGAGCATAATATAATATAGGGATTTTTCTGTACACATAAGAATGGCATGTTTCTTTTGTATTTCACACCTCAATGATTTTCTTTCCTTTAGGATTCCTTCATTTATGTATATACTGGGCAGGGCTGGGGCATACTATCTCCCAAGGGCGAGGGGGGCATTCAAGCATAAATGGTGGCCCCCAGGCAGTACTTTATGACCTTCACTATCTTAACATTTGCTTTTTTCTACCTACATTTATATATGTTACAAATTAAACTAAGCACAACTGACAAACGATGAAAAGTTTTTGCAGATTTTGACGTCCTTTTGGGGGAGTCTATTTTTTTGTCCAAATCCATAAATTTTTTTTTTTTTTTTTCATTTTTACAATTGGTTAACTGAAAAATTAGCCTTTTGTTCCTTGCCATTCTTCTGTCTTGCTCTTTGATCTGAAAATGTCTCAAAATATACTACTAGGAGCCTTGACAACACAAGCTTCACCTATTCACTCAGTAAAAATAGCGCTTACAATGTCATGGCGGAATTTTGGTTAAATTCAAGTTTAATTTTCTTTTATGTATGGACACACAATCTAGCCGATCTAATTCAGTTTACCTCTACTTTTGTTTTTAAGAATCCCATATTGTGATAAAAGGAGATGAAATGTTGTAAGAACCTGTACTCAAATTTATTGTTGATGATTTAACAATTGGTGCATCTTCTAAACATTTTTATCTTAGTAAATTATTTTTTTTTAAATTCTACTATAATTAAGAATTAAAGTAGATTTTTAAAAAAAAAAAAAAAAAAAAAAAAAAAAAAAAAAAAAAATTCTAATCAAACTCATTGTGGTGAGCATGTTTTGTAAAAGATCTCTTCTGTTCATATAATCTTATTTAAAACAAAAGTAAAAGTTTTAAAAAGTTTATATATTCCTTGTAGAAATCATTACAGGTTAGAGAGTAAAGTTCTGCTTCAGGTTTGTTTTGTAAGTCTTATATTGTTTTAGAAGTAGTTGCAATATTTTATTTTAAATTTAGATGTGATAGAGTTGGCTGGTTGTGTAATGTATCTTGTATTAAGTTTGTTTGTATTGTCCATTCTTTTATTTTTTTATAAATTTGTTCAGTTTTCTATAGGCTATTGGAACTTAAAATTATTTTCAATGTATTTCTCATCACAAAAAATAGTGAGGGCTAAAAATTCTATGGAATCCAACTATTATTTAGGATTTTTGTTTCTGTTATGGCGATTGATTTAAATTAATTTGGTTTGTTTGTTTAAAAGCATATCAACTTATGGATCATTTAATGCTAAAATTTACATTTTTTGCAAGCTTTGAAGGAATAAGAAATAAGATAGATGTTATTCTACTTTCACAAATGAATACATGGTAGATGATGCTCATCTTTTGTACATTTGATTTAAGAAATTGTAGGATATATGGATTAATGTCATGAATGAGTTCTTTCATGTTGCATTATTTGATAGTATTTTAAACAGATTTGGGTGAAGTTGCTAGAGTTTGTTAGTGTGTGTTTTATTATGTATAGTTCTTGGCATGCCATACAGATAAGAGGTCATTTTCATTTTAGAATATAAGATTGGTTGGTTGATTTTGTTTAGTGACATTAACGTCTATGAGTTATTTAATGCCAGTCTAAATATTTTGAACACAATTTTATGGCTTCAATTAAATGTGTTGGATGCAATTGTATGCCTTCAACTACAGATAAAATATATTGCTGGTCATTTTTTTTATATATAAAAATGTATTACTGGTATATTTGCTATAAAAATGTATTTTTATACTTTTGTAGTGGTTTTGTTTTTGAATATTTTATGTATTTCATTTTTTGGCTTTGGTTTTAGAAATGCTTATAGGGTCTATGTCCATGTTTTGTAGAATTTCAAATCTATTTTTCTCTTAAGAGTATTTTTGGTTTGTGCTTGTTGACATTTTTGTATTCTAGTATTTTCTTGGAGAGATTTCTCTCTGTATTTTTGTTCGGGAGTTTTCTTCAGAGGGGTTGGGGGCAAATTGAGGATCTTTGATCTTTGCTTTATTAAATTATTTTTGATTGGTGACTTTTGGATAACTTGCAGAGAGGCTCCAGGTTGCATTGTTATTTTGGCATTTGTTTCATTATATTTCATTGCATTATTGTCATTCAGACTTGGTCTGATTTCATTTATAAAATTTTGTCCAGTTATTTAGCCCTAACTGAATTAATCTTTTTATCAGGTTATCATATTTCTGATGATTTTCTTGCATGTTAATTTTTGTGATTTGTGCATAACTTTCATATATCCCTCCACAATGTGTCATGCTTTGGGGAAAGAAATGCTTTTGGGATGTTTTACAGTCATTTCTTTCTCTTTCCTCCAAATTTTACATACTCTGGCACACCCACAAATGAATGCAGGGTGTTCTTCACCACAATTTGCACATTTACATATTTCTCTGCATTCATTTGTGGGGTGATTCGAGTCCTTTTGCCCACATTGACCATATATTGTTTTGCCATAGCATCTGCCCTCATGATGTCCAAACCTGCAACAACAAAGAGGGTTAAGGATGAAGAGTTCGGTCTTTTCCTATTTTTATCTCTTTGACGATGGTTGATACATTGAATGTCAGAATGTAAATGTTGGTCTGGATGTTTTTTGGTTTTTTTTAATCATGACCTCTTCTAACATCTGTGATGCCCTGCTTTTTCAGTTCATTTTTTTTATCTCTAATGATACATAGAGAGAGTTCCTTTGTACCACAACCTGTGAGGTTTTCAGTTAATTGTGAGGGTATGCCTTTATTTTTTGTGAAATGTTGTCATTTTTAGTAGTATCTCCACTTGCCTTTTCTCATCTACTTCAATCAAAATTGTGCCATTTTTTAGACTTTTCTCATTTTGAAGCTTTAGTTTAGAGTATATGATTTTTCAATAAGAAAAGGAGATAATTATGCGAGTGGGGGTTTCATCTAGTGATTTCAAGATGATAAATCTTGGAAATAATCATTTTTAGATTAACCCACTGCAAAGGTTCAATTGGTATATTTATAAACCATTATATTGTTATAGTGAGAATAAAAATTTACAAGCTCATTTTAATTAGCAGATTTATGATTTACACTTCATTGTAGGTATGATTTGTAGTATGATTTGACATGATATTGAGAAAAGGTAATATACTGTTTGTCTCTGTTTCATAAGGAAATGCTATCATGCATTCTAAATTTAGTTTATCTACAAACAAGGTCAGGTAATGTTTTGCAGAGATATATTAATAAAGTATCATCAGTATATCAGAAATAGGTAGATTGTTTAGGTAAAATATTTTGGAAAGGACCAGATTTAAGAAACTCTAAGAACAAGAAAACTGGTAAGAGGCAATACCATCAGTAATCCAAGTTTTGTTTATAAAAAAATCATTGGTTTGTGATGAGTTGGCAAATTTTTATGATTTTTTTCTATTGGTCAGAAGAGATTTAATTTTGATTGTACTAGATATTTTTTTTAGATATATTTTTTAGCATTGGCTAACACTAACATTGGTATAAAAGGATTTGACATCTAAAGTAGCTACAAGTTTATATGTCATACTTATTCCCCTTAGTTTTCATACATGAATGGCTGATTGTTCCAAGGAAACGTGTTAATTTTTTTTTTTTTTAATTAGTTTGCCTCCCCTTTTTTATGCTTATTCTTCTAAGGCCTTTGTCCCCTTAACCTTCGAGATTAATTTTCATCTTGAGCAGGATTAGATCATGGATTCTCAATATGCTCTTGCTTGTATTTAATACCAATATATTTTTATATTATGAAATGTGTCCATCCTCAACAATGTCTTCAATTGTTTGACTTTTTTTTTCCTCCACTTTCATTTTGACCAGAAGATTTTCATTTCATTTCTTCTCTCTCTATATATATATATATATATATATATATATATATATATATATATATATATATATAGTGTGTGTGGGAATGAAGACATGATGATAAACATCTTAGCAAACACATTTTATCCTCTGATGCTGGATTTTATCAAGGCAAATGTAAAGATTTTGCAACAAGTATTTATAAACAGAAATAATAATGTTAACTTTTAGAACGGTCATAAATATTCTTCAGGCTAATTGAAAGTCAAGGTAAATTATGAAGAATGCTAAGTGATGTAATTTAATGTCTAATAAACAAAAGTGAGTAAATGCTGTTATTGTTGACTTTTTTTTATAATGTAATTATTTTAGTTTGAGATTAATTTATGTATTATATATTTTAAATAAGTTTTGAATTTAACCATTTTCTTTGCATTTTTAAAAATTTTTATATTCATATATGTTCACTTTGGAAAAGAGTATTTCTTTTAGGAAAATAGATCTGTCTATATTTCTGAGATGAGGTATTGTAACTATTTACACTATTTACATTGTTTTCCTCATCTTTGTTGTCATATTCACAATGTTTCAGCTGTTGTATGCTCTGGCCTTTTTCAGTGGATGAAAGTGTTGATTGAAGTAATCCAATGATTTCATCCAAAGAGTTGTGAGTTCAATACCTAGCCACAGCAGAAGTGAGTAAAACTTGGAGAGTTGAGTTGATAAAGGAAATGAACTGAAACTGAGATTCCAATATATATCACCTGAAGGCAGCCAGAGCATACAATGTCTGAAACATTGTGAATATGACAACAAAGTGGGGACAACAGTCAAACAATGTTAATAGTGTAAATAGGAAAGAAGATATTTGAAAAAATATTTGAAGTGCAGATTTATATTTTGATAATTCAATAGCAGCACAAGAATTTTCCATCTAAATAAGTTACTTTTAACAAGTTTGGCATTTATATATATACAGACACACACATTAGACCAATAATTGTACCCCCACCTTAGATTTTACAAGTATATTTTTAATACCTTACATATTTGCGACAAGATATGAGAATAAAGCCAGTTCTTGGAAAAGAACCTTCCTTTCCCCCACCTCCTGTCTGGTCTCTGATCGCAGGCCAGACAAACACTGCTTGTCTGATAAGTACAAGTGACCGTAATAGTGTTCAATGGATAACGCCTATTCACTTTCATATGCCAACACATAACTTAACCCCTAATGGGTTTTTTTTCACGCTGTTGGGATATAACAATTTCACTTAGCTGTTTGCTTTCAGAGAAATCAGACATCACCAAAATTGGACTTAGCTGTTTGCTTTCAGAGGAATCGGACATCACCAAGAATCGAAGACAACAAAAGAATCCTGAATGGTATTCTCAAACCTATGTCATCTATACTCCTGTAGTTTATCTGCGTATACTACTCGCCCTCGGCAAGGATTGAACAGCATTAATCAAGGACTTATATCAGGACATTAGCAACTCCACCTTTTTTGCTCAGAGAATTGAATGGACATCTTTTCTTTCGAACTTTATTTCTGATAACAATCGATGGATGTCGATCCCTACAATTTGTAAGTATCTACATGTTTATATATATATATATATATATATATATATATATGTAATTCTATAATCTGCTGTCGCTATTTTTGTCTGTATTTCATCACATTGATATATGTTTGATCCCCTCATCCCTTTTACTATTTAGTTTTGTTTTCTTTAATGTAATACACTGTATATTTTATAAATAAAGTATTTTTATTATATGTTCTCATGTCGTCTTCTGTTGTTCTGTGCCTGCGTATTGTTCGTTTTCTCACTACGTTCACCGACATCGAAGAATTCCCCTCCCATTGTTCTTTTCATCAATCTTACATTGAACTCTGGGATACTCATTTATTTTTTTTATTTTCTTGTTGTGTCCCAGCTATTGTCCAATCAAATCCTAGGCATAACAAAATATATATATATATATATATATATATATATATATATATATATATATATATATGTGTGTGTGTATGAGAGAGACAGATATGTAACATCAAGCTAGAATATGTAGCCACTACACAATCAAGTGAATTGTTAACACAGCTTGGTCTCAAAGATCTAGACCTCATTCTGAGAGAGAGAGAAGGTTTTGCTGGTATGGACATGTGGATGTTCCAGCAGTGCTATCAAGTGCTCCCATGACTTTCAGGTTAAAGGAAAGCAAGTGCCTGGGAAGCCCAAGATGTCATTGAGGGAGCTGACAGAATGTGATCGCAGGGAGTGAAAACTCTCTGCAGTCGACCAACATGACAAAATTTGAAGATCTGGAGTGAGAACTGTCATGTGTGCAGCTAGCCAGTTACCTGGAAGGGGGCCCACTTATGTGGACGATGCTCCCACACCTGCACAATAAACAAAAACAACTAATAAATAAGAAAGAAAGATATATAAATGTTAGGATTTAGACAGACTAGCCAATCGATTAGATTGTGCTTCTCCAAGTATCTGTCTATGTAAGGGCCAAAAGGAAATGTCATAGATCACAACAACTTAATCTCTATGGCGATGGCCCACTCAGTATCATGGGTAACCATTTATAGGAAACAGATAAAAATGTTTATTTCATATACAAACAAAACACACTTGCCTCATTGCATAAATTTCCTGTAAAACCTTGAGGACACCTACAAATGAAAGAACCATCTGTATCTGTACAAGTTCCGTTTCCACAGGGGTTGGAGGGTTCACACTCATTTACATTATCCGAACAGGTATCGCCTTGGTAACCTGAAGAAGTACAAATAAAACCATTATCCATTCATTATTATGTATTATATTTAGAGAGGAAAAATTCAAAATGATTAATACTTATTAAGGTTGCTAGATTTTGAGTAGCAAATTAAATTGGAAATAAACTTTTGATTATGTTACTGCAGCCTGAGGGAGAAATATTTCACCAAGTCTTTGGAAGGGGCCTGTAGTATGCCCAGTTTTCAAGGATAAAGGTGATCACTCATTCCCATATCATCCCATCAGCCTTCTTAAGTTGAATCAACAAGACAGTTGCTGATCTCAACAGAAACAACCTTCTGAGTGACAAATAATATGGATTTCATTCCTCTAGGTCCACTGCTGATGCCCTGTCATTACACAAAGAATCAGTGAGGTACTCAGTAATAAGTTTATCACAATAACAACTGCCTTAGATATCTTAAAGTCCTTTGACAAGATGTGGCACAGGACAGTTAAACAAACTCTCTAGGTATGGTATCTCTAGAAGAGTCTTTTCAATTATCAAGTCCTTATAAAATAGATCCATGAATTTTGTTAATAGACCAGTCTTCTGAAGCTCACTTGATCAATGCAGGCATTCCCTTTTTTTGCTTTACATTAACAATCTGCCTAAGAAAATTCTCAAGTCATCAGTAAATATCTAGGCAGATGTTACTACAGTTTATAGACATCTCAAAAAAAAAAATCTATATGACCAGAGTATGACCTGGCAGCTGATTTTCCCTGTAGCCTAGCTGTAACTGCTCAATATGGGGAGGGGCTGGCTTGTAGCATTCACTACCTCCAAAACCAAGCTAGTAATGTTTCATCATCACAGAGTAAACTGAATTTTCTCTTGCTATAATGAGTGGTTATATGTTAATGAAGCACTTTGCTTTGAACTGAGATTCATGTTCACCCCAGACCTCAAGTGGAATACATATAGGATACATAGCTAAAGACATTAGAAAAATGGTCAGCTTCTTGTACCACTCCAGAAAGTATGTGACTTCTACCATTCTTTATCTTTACAACAGTCAGATCAGACACAAAAATGGAGTATTGCTGCTACATCTTGGTTGGCACTGCTCAATCCTCACTTTCCGGCATTGATAGAATTGAAAAGCATCTACATACACTTATGGATGATGAATTATTTCCACTCTACAACCCCTTTCTCATAAACAAAATATCACAAGCCTCTCACTACTATCACTATTTCTATGGCAAATGTTCTGGTGAACTACATTCGCTAGTTCCACCAGTTCAGACCTAGACAGCTAAAACTCAGCATGCCACATACACAGGACCAAATTATCCTCATTCTCTTCGTATTCCATTGGTAAGAATGAAATTTCATGTGAACAGCTTCAAAAAACAATTACATTATGAAACAGACTCCTAAGAAAATGCTTCCAATTCACTACAATCATAGCCTTTTCAAATCAAGAGTCAAACATTATCTACATAAAACAGCTTTATTCAGTAACCCTCTACTTTGAATAGCTTTGGGGCCTTGTATTGGATGAACAACAGTTAATGTGTATCATATATATATATATATAAGAGAGACATTCTCATATCAGTTTTATTTCACTGGAAAACAAATAATTCTCATGTAAGACATACTAAGTTAATTTAACCCTTTTATAACCATATCAAATCACAGTATATTTTTAAGCAACCAAGATATGATTTTTGCCAAGTAAGCCATCAGAAGTTTCAGATCATTATTTCAGATCATTATTTAGAATTGTCCTGTCAACTGTTTATAAACTATATAGTTACTTGTTTTCATGCTGAAAGAGTAGTCTGCAAAGGTTATAAAAAGCTTTGAATTCATTAGTAAGCCACTATTGTAACAAATTTTGTATCTTTTAATAGAAATAAAATATTATTCTACTCTACTTTGAACCCAGGATGGATTGACATGGTCAGTTGAAAGTTTGTCCTAGACACATGCAGTTGTCCTCGCATTTGTGGGAATAGAGTTTGAGGTGCTCACGTGTTTTGACGTGGGCATTGACTTGGAATTTGGTAACACCTGATATTGGTGTTTTCCAATATCATTTTGTATCGGGCTGACTGAATGGCATCAATTTCAATTTCTTCTGGTTCATTACTCACGGTATTTGGTTCATGCTGTACATTAAGTGATAAGGGATTATAATCTGTGCCGATCAACATAGAGGATTCACTGGGTTGCTGCGGCTGGCCCCCAAGATCTGTAAAGGTATTATATATTTTTGGCCAAGACGTCATTAGTCTATTTTCCATGTTGTTATCTTGAACTGGATGTAAATCAGGGTGCCATGAGGCTGAGGGACCTGCTCCCTGAGTAGAATGATGTCAATAACTGGGTGGATCTTACAGAGGAAGCAACAGTTACATAGAGTTACCCAATTGCATTCATCCACCTACACACGGTACTGCCAGTTATCAAGTATCTCCGTGATTCTTCCTGTTTTTGTCCAGAGATGAGTGTAATGGTTATCTTGATTCTGAAGCTGAATAGAATCACCAGTTTTTCTCCACTGTTTACATATCTGGTATTTGTCACGTAGGAGAGAGAGGTGGTCTTTGATAACACAACCGTATAACGTCATAACAGGAGACATGCCAAGATCCTGGGTCAGCAAAGCACGAACTGCACAATCATGACAGCTAACCACAGCTGTCCATGTTGTCTACAAGTATACACTTAACTGTTTTGATAGCCAGTTCTTATATAGAACTTATATATACTTGGGAATCAAACGATGGTCCTCCTTTGGAAGAAAGTTCTTCAGGTGCACCCTATGTGCAAAACCAAGTTCTCGGGGTGTTGTATACTACCCTGGCCTTCCCAGATGACATTAGGGCCATTTCCACTCAACCAGTGTAATGATCTGCATATATAACATACTTTCTACAGTGTAGTTCAAAAAAGTCAATCATGGTTTCTTGGAATGGGAATTCAGGGTTAGACAATGGCTTGATGCTATTGTCTAACCTTGAATTCCCATTCCTTAGACTGTAACAGGATGATAGTTACATACCAGGCACTAGGCTCTGGTCTGCCAGATGCTGGTATCCAAACCAGGCCAAAATAGGCATTGTCTTGCATTTGCTAGCAAGCCATTTACACACTGGTGTACAGAATGTAGGGATTCTGCACAAGTACTTCTGCACAAAGTTGTTGAGGCATAAGGATTTTATTCTCCTTGATCGGTACTCCTTCGATGCAGTACAATTCCTTGTGCATGGGCCAAAACCAAGAGATCACCAACAGGAAGTCATGGAGTGATTTGGGGAAACCAGTCCATATATATTCCATCAGAGTCCATTCTTCATCTATGGCTGCAATGGCAATGATCCTATCCAATGTGATATCCCTCAATCTAAGGTCATGCTCGTATGTAGAATGCAGCTTTGATTGCACTGTTGATTGGTTTGACTGCAACAGTTGTAGTCGCCTTGTAGAATGGCCACCATCTATGTTTCTGTTGTATATATTCTGTTTCTGCAGATGATATTTCAGGACATTCTGATGGAATCCATGCTGGGTAGTGGGAGGCACAGACAGATGCAACATTAAGGGAGGAGGATGTTTAATGCTGAATTTGTACATTAGTGTAAATTCCTTGAAATTATGTTATTGAGGGCTCAATCTAAGAAAATTTTTTGAGTGGTTGATGGTCAGCAGTCACTAGCAAATCTGGACATCCCAATATAAACATCTGACATGATTCTAGTTCATAGACAAGAGCCAGGGTTTCACCTCCAACTGGTGCATTGCAGGATTCTGTGTCAGTGATAAAGCAAAATCCAATCAAAATAATTTTCTAGTGACCATCACCACAATTTGGGTTCATTTTGCAAGGGCAATTACAGTGTTTTTGAAAAAGAAAGTAACCTATTCTTGTTTTACTGTAACCTGTTGAAAGGCACGTCATTTTATTGATCTCAAACATCTTGACGCTGTCCTCAATTTTCTGCATGTCTCCTTGAAAAGTTTGTCAAGCATTTTGTCCCAATAAAATTTTCAGTTTTTTTTCAAGCACAGTAATTCCCAGAAGTGGGCCATTACCTCAGCTTGCAAGAATGTATAAGATACCTGATTCACCAGTCCAAACCAGGACCTGATGACCATGATATTTTTGGGTGTAGGAAAGTGAAGGATGGCCTTGGTCATTATTTTTGTTGATTTCACACCCAGCAAACTATTTCATTCCCACCAAAATGTAATTTTAACCCTGACAAATCAGTGGGTTATATATTCCATTGTGTTCCAGAACAAGGACTCTATAGAATCATCCCAAGGGAGGCTATCATCTATACAACAGGTTTTTCAAACCATGTCTACTATAATACACAGGTCTACCTGTCTCCAGATATATGAAATCCCTGGGGAGCATGGAGCTATCAGTACCGGCACCATTCAGTGATAATGTAGTGGCATCTTGTGCAACTATAGAAAATGGTAAGCTGTGGTACCCATTTCATACGACCAGAACCATTTTCTGTCTGAGCTGGAACAATAGAGACCTGATTAAATAGGGACTGAGTGTGATGGGTTTCTCCTCATGGAGGCAGCATTCAGTTCTTATAAGTCCACCAGGTGTCTGGAAGATCTGTCTTTTTGGGTGGGTCTTGTTTCACTCTCTTCTTCCAATGTTGAGGAACAGGGATCAGTATGTAGACCACTGATGGCGTTGCATCAGGGATGAAGGTAATGCCCAATGGCTTTCCTGTCATAGTTTGTAAGGGCTGGTGTGGGCATGTACTAAATGCTTATTGACTTGAAATGGTCACGTATTCACTGTTCCAATAGGTGCCTGTTGATTTCCGTCGGAGAGATCAGGATGGTATTAGGCATCACTGGAATGAGTTTTTTGTATGGGCATGTGCACAGGGCATTTTTCTTTGTGCCCTTCAATGAGTTGAAGCCATGACGTCTGGGCTGGGAAATAAACAACAGATGTAGATCCCACAGGGCAGATTCCGATAAGTAAAAATCGGATGTTAAACAATAGTGGCTCCCTCAAGCCAATTATTATAGGCATAAACAACACTCCTTTTATATGAAGTTGGTTGTCTGTAATGCCCTGTATTAAATGACTAGTTGGCACAAAGTACTCAACTAGACACACGAGTAGTTTTAATATCTCTGGTCTACTTGAACAAATTTGACCCCCTGTTTCAGTGAACGTGAGGCTGCGATGACTACTGTGTCTAATTGGACCAGTCTGGGTGTGTCCAAATGATGCATTATAGTTCCTTCAATTGTCAGTTATAGCAGTGGATCTGGGACACCTGCTTCAAATTGCTTTCCATTCCATACAAGATGAGGCACAGCACCAGGCAGTGTCAAACCTGTTTTTCAGCTCTTGGGTCAGACTAATGTTTGAGAAAGTAAATGAATCGTGCCTCGTCTTGCACCTTGTTGATCCATTTGTGGTTCCAATTTTAATTTTAGTAGATTTCTGGCATACCCTTTTTACATGAACCCTAATCCCATAATTATGACATACCAATTTAGCTGCTAGGCAATCTGTCCTACTAATTGATCTGCCTGGGTGGACTGTCTTTTCGCAACCTACACATGGATTATTATTCGGCGAAGAAGTGGGTACATTAGTTCTTCAGGGATGTTGAAACAGACAGCACTAAATATATCTGAAGGTAGGACGAGCTTGATGATTTAGTAACCATGCAGCTGACTTGTCATTCATTTACAAGCTAACAAGTCAATTGAGCTTTTGCTCAATTGTTGTGTGGTTGGCAGCTCAGCCAAAACTTGACTCTGGTGCTCCTTGTTGGCAAGTCCCGCAATCATCTGCCCAGCTATCATGTTGCATGAGTAGCTGACTGCAGCCTTCTGTGTTGTAATAATCAACAGTGGACAAGCAATATCTGGCTTGAGCTCATAGCCTTGCTACAAAAAAAGAAGTGATTGACTCACCTTCCACCTGATATGTGGAATGAAACATCTGCTGGTGAACTTCTACTACAAATCGGATATGTGACAAAAGTCTTTCCCCCATAGTCAAATTTAAAGTTTCAGCCCCTATAAGGTCAAAAAGGTGCCTGTTGATTTCAGGTAAGCATGTCATTCTTGATAAGTTTACACATCTAAACATATACAGAGTCCAAGCATCAAGGAATAATGCCCAGTCATTGTCTGTTGCATTGGGTTCAATGACAAGTCGGACTTTTTTTTGTGTTGGATGTTTGCATCATGTTAGGGGTTCTGTCCATCCAAAGCATGATAGTTTCACTTTGTAGCTCTCTTGTTTGTTCCACAATCCAGCAATCAAATCGACGGTTCTGCCTGGTGCAGATATGTCTTAATTTGTTAAGATTAGTTCCACCTATTCATCAGATCCTGTTCACAGAGCCATGTTAAATAACCGCAATGGCAGTAGTAATTCTTACTTTATTCTCATACCAATGAGATATAAATAAAAAAAAATATATCCCCTGGCTACTCAGCTGTTTATATAACACTTGACAAGGTAACTTATGTCTGCTTGTGGAAGTTCCCATAATCTAATGAGACTTTCCATTTCTTTTCTACAATAAGTAGGCTAGAGAATCAATCAACACAAATCAACAAAAATCATTGAATTTAAGCCTTAAAGTTTACACTATTACAGCCATTTTTTGACTAATGAATAAGAAAAGGAAAAGAAAATTGACAAGATCGAAAATTCAAAACTGGTGACAGAAAAAGAATCCTAAGACAATAAAACAGCCAAGAAAAACTCGGTTCTAAGAGAACAACTACTGTTAATTATAAAAATCAAAATAAATATGGCAAAGGAATGACTATACATCAACACCAGAAGACACTTACCTGTTCCTGTACAATTACATTCAACACCATTAATGAGGTCAATACAGCTACCATGTTTACAAGGCTCTGAACTACATTCATTAATATCAATCATACAATATTGGCCAGTAAAACCTGAAAAGAAAAATAATTAATTAGATTTTCACTTGTTAAATAAATCAGCATTTTAAAATATCCAGTGTTTGAATTAATTCACTGACAAAGAACAATTTAGGAACAGCTTAAAACTGAACAAAATGGTGACATGAATTCTCAAAAACTGAATCATTTTTCTGGCAATAATTTTATCCCATATAAGAAGTAGAAAAATGAACTATTCCTGTGGCTAGGAAATTTTATCAGAAAAATCTTTATTTGAAGTCAATTTTAAATTCAAATCTTTCCATTAATATAAATTAGCTTAAAACTGTATTTTTTTAATTGTATAATGCAGCTGAAAGCAAATTAAAATTAGCAGACACCATTAAAATATTAAGTTAAACAAAAATGCGTTTATCGTTAAATAGCATTTACTTTTAATTTCATTGAAAACAATTGCTTTATGTCAGCTTTCAAAATTACAGTATTTTTGTTTATTAATCTTAAGATTAAAGAAAATAACATTTTGAGTCCATTGTATTTTGATTTTTGTTTTTTTAAGAATGGTAAAATGTAAATCAAAAGATTTGTGCAGTTTATGGAGAAGGTACTGTGAATGATCAAATGTGTCAAAAATAGTTTTCAAAGTTACACTGGAGATTTCTTGCTGAAAATGCTCTACAGTTGTGTAAAGCAGTTGAGATTGATAGTATTGCATGATGTAGAAGACTGCCAACATACTCAGAATAGCCAAATCAAGTGTTGAAATATAATTTGCATCAGCTTCATTGTTTGTCACTCTGATGTGTGACAATACTATATTTCCCTGTAATTCAGTACTAGATATAACAAAAAAGATTTTGAAACATGTTAAGGTGTTAATAAATTAATACTTTGAAATAATGAGAAATCAAAAGATCACAGAATAAGTAAAATGGAATATCATTAACCATACCAGTGGCCGGTCTTGAACTTTCCAAAGAAAAAAAAAAAAAGGATTTGGACGTCATAATCAATAAATAAGAATGTCTATCCAGAACTAGTTAACAGAAAAGGGGATGAGTTAGAAGCCATTGTCAAAATGTAAGATAAGTAACAGAATTAATAAAGTTTGCAATGATAAGACAAAAAAGTTAAGATGCAATAAAGTTAAAGCAAATCAATAGGTAAGAAGGCAAAAAAATTCACAAACTATGAATTGGTGTTTGTACACAAAAGAAAAGGTCAAACAAGCGAACACAGTAGGTCTGTCTAGTAGTTAAGGCAGATCCGGACTGGATCATGTCAAAATGAAAGCCATCCCATTTTATTGGCTAAGAGAAATATCCCAGCATGCATTTTGTGTCCTTCTGACTATAAGAAGGGGAGGGAGAAAATTTTACAATTATTCCCAGTACTTTTGTAATCTTTCAATATGAGCATTATTCTCATCAGGATCTGGTTGGATTCTTTGGACATCAGCTCAAGACGAAGATCTGATAGAAAGCGTTTGATAGTGACAGATTTCAGTGAAAGGTGGGTATCTGTGGCAAGCCTTGTTAAGTCTCCTTGAGCACAACAGGGTGGTTTCATATGAACCCTCCCCAGGTTAAGTTAGATTGGTTTAGGTTTTCCTAGTTAATTTGAATAAGTATTGTTCCCAGCACTCTTGTTATGAGGCATGTTGAGATTCCCAACCTTCCCTGTTTGTTTTTGTCTCCTTTTTACATCTTGGCTGGGTCACACTTTGTTTCCCCACCCCCATTTTACTGTTCAATTTTTCCTTCCCCACTCCATTAGTGAATGTGCTGCTTGATTCTGTCAAACAGTAGAATACATTGGCCACCCACATTATTTTGATAGGTGGACAGGTCCTACGAACATTTGTCTTGTTTAGTTAGTTAGTTAGTTAGTTAGTTAGTTAGTTAGTTAGTTAGTTAGTTAGTTAGTTTTTGCTTCATTCTTTAGTTTCGTTTTTGGGTTCATTCCTTGCCCTCCCCATCATTTTCATTATTATATAAATTTTTATATATTTTTGTATTATAAATTTTTGCATCATGGTGTGTTTTGTAGGTCCTTTGTGAATATGTGGTATTATTATATATATATATATATATAGAATTGAGAGGTGATGGACAAGTTCTTGTGATGATTGAGTATATTGTATTGAATGAATGGGTCGTGATTGTGTTTAACTAGGACAGTTACTGAGTACCAGCCTTTCCCCCACTCCCCCTTTGGTCTTGTGCCACAATTTTTGTAAATTTACAAGAATAAATAGCCACTCCCAGTACTTTTGGGAAATCAACAAAAGCATCTAATAACAAAAATACTTGACCTCATATTTCTTTGTTGACCAGGCAATCTAATATGTACAAATAAATCTTTATTACCAAAAGGAACTTACTGCTATGACAGTTGGTCAAAAAGTAATTTAATCTTAAAAGTAGGAGTCTGTTATTTTTTAAGCTATTAACCATAAAATATCTTGAAGCCCAAAGGAAAAATCTCTTGTGCTACCTTGTTTTCCTGCCTACAATCTTCTTTCAATATGGTTGCCTCTCTGGATACACATAACAAAGAGTTATAAGAAATTTTCTGCTTTTGGAAGAAGAAATAGCTACAAAAATTCACATGAGTTTACTGAATATTTATTGAAAAACTGCACTTGATGGATGCACAGTAGGTTGGTGGGTTAGTTGAATTAATGACAATAGTCAAGAGAAACTGACATCAGTTTGCAGCAGATACCATTATTGAAAAGGAAAGGGATTATCTGGAGGAATAGATTTGGAATCCTATAAACCTTTTTTGTTCATTTGGTAGGCTCTGTGTGCTTTTACTATTAAATCTGTTGCAAATAAATAAAAACAGGTATTACTTTTGAACCAGCCCTTGTATTTCAATTATATCAATGTTTTAAGCCAGTTAAAATTTGTTTTGGTCATGTGCAAGAACTTACCTGGCTGACAAGTACACTTAAAACCACTTCCACTTGGAATACATGTTGCATTATTTTGACAGGGTTTAATTTTACAGCCTTCAGAACCTGAAATTACAAGAATAATATATGAGTGAGAAGATTGCAAATTTAAAATGAAATGAAGTTTCAAACTTACTTTCATTTTGTACTTCAGACAGTAAAAGATAAAAGTGGTCTTGATGGAGTCATAATAATGTAGGAAATGTCTTGAGAGTGAAAAATTATAAGTAAAGGAGTGGAGAAAATCATGAAAGACCTGATGAAAGATTCAGTTTAGAAATATTAACCAGAGCCCCTAAAATGTTTATTAGGAAGGCATTGGTAGCATTTTAACCCAAAATAAACCTAGTAAGATTTAGTAAATTGAGTACAATTGAATTTTTCCTACCTCACTTTGCAACTCAAAAGTTATGGTGACAAGATTAATGTGTTTACCATAATTCTGCAAAATCCTGCCAAGTCTGGGAATTGTTTATTTAATGGGCTAACCTCCCAAATTACATTGATACTTTTCAAAATATCTGAACACTCAATATAGCCAAAGGTACTTTTGGAAAGACCATGTAGCTTCTTAATAAGACAGTTTTTATGGGAAAATAAAATCTGTCAATGTCATTCCCCTGGACAAATGTCTATATAAGTCAGAGCCCACATTCAAAAGAAAAAACTCTTTTCCCTCTATAAGTTAATAGAATCTTCAACACACAAACATCTACTTTTGCTATATCTACTCTCAATGCTCCAAGAATCTTAGTAGAAATCAACCAGAGTGATTGTAACATTTGACATTTAAAATGTTGATAGTTTTTGTAACAGCATTTATTCCTTCTATCCATACTTTTTCTATCTTCTGAGGAAATCTCCAGATCAAGGAAATCATGGCCTGCTTGAATGAACAGATGGATTCTTATATAATCACATCCTAGCAGGTAGACAACATGAAACCACAAGATGACCATATCTGGAGACCAGCAATGGGTGAAAATAGTGAGCTGACAAAAACACCACAATTTGCTGGGTTACATATTATATTGCAACCGATTAGAATGTATACATAAATAAAAAGAAATCATTTACTGGAGTTATTACTTTAATATTAAATATTCACAAACAATATTTAACCTTCTCCTTTTTGATTAATTGGGTCACTGTTTTATACTATATAAGCTTCAATTATTTTATTTACAAATCTTTGGCTTGTGACCTGAAAATAAACTGGAATGATATTAAACAAGACTCAGCAGTTCATTTAAGAAATCAAAGTATTATTAAACACTTCAAAATTAGAAAACAAGAGAAAACATAAGAGGTTTATTGAAAAGCATCTGAAGAAAGTTGACAGATGTAAAACAATAAAAGAAAACAAATGTAGGGATCACAAGATGACAGAAGAAAGAGATTATACAGGTTTGCAATATGGACCTAATTATAAAATTTATCAGGAAAAGAGTGAGAGATGTGGGTTTCTTAAAATACACTGACTCTTAGGCTAATCTTTCCTGATTGTACTCATTAACCAGAATGAGCATTCAACAGTTCAGCCATAAAACAGAGAAAGTTAAAAATGATAAAGGAATCAATCTACAGAAGTTCTGTAATTTATATGGAAGCTTTTGTAAAAAAAAATGTCCATCCATAAAATAATTGCAAAGGATCAGGGCCTAGTACACAAAACCTATATATAAAAGGAAAAGGGCTTCAAACCTTTGATTATTCAATGTAAACAGTAATATCAATTTTTATTCTTACCAAAAGAAGAGCAACTGAATTCCTACTGAGCAACAATTACATGCCTACATTTGTCCAAAAAGCTACAAGTCTTTAGTCTTCAATTTATATAAAATAAAACATAATAAAATTATAAAGAGTGTTAAAAGCAAAAAATTTTTTTAAATTTAAAAAAAATCGGCCATATTACACATGAAATATGATCTCATTGCACAAGTGCGCTGTATACATTTTGGTTTCATCTCCAAAAAATATTATGACCACCAAAAGTCTACAAGTCATCACTTGAAACCAAGAAGTTTTCAGTAAAAACCACCTTCTCACCACAAAAAAAAAATATCTGAGTTGTCCTTGTCTGATTAGTAAATATGGTATTATACATCAAAGGATACCATCAATGTCACTTATCGAAGAGTAAAGACAAAGAAAATATTACTATTACATGTTGCAGGACTCCCAAGGTTCACTTGTAAAAAGTACCTACCCATGAAAAATAGAAATAAAAAAAATGAAATATGAAAGATGCTATAAAGGATGTAGAATCATTCTTTCACATGAAACAAGTGGTTGGTTCCTAGGTAGCTGGTAGATCAGATATCCATTCACAACTTTCATGATCAAAAGATATAATAAAAAAAATAGATGGAATGACCTTTGAAGAGATCTGATATCCTGACAAAAGCTTGAAGTGTAACAGATATTCAAAACAAAGTGTTGATCAAGCAGAAACACGCTTCAAAAACACTTCATATTGACATACGACATCAAACAGAAGGCCCCAAAGAGAGAATAATTTTTTTCAGAAAAACAGAAAATGACAGTCTATGAATGCCAATCAAATTTAAATTTATTGGCAATAAAGAAAGTCAATAAGATCTGTAACTTATGTGGGAAGAGTGACAGCCTCAAGCAACTTTCAAGTGGTTTTGAATATTCTCTTAAACACTACAAATGGTAACATAAGCAAGTAGTGAAGATACTTGCCAAGGTTACAGAAAAAAATTCAGTTGCCTCTTCCTGATGTTAAGTATAAGCTTCCTCCTTGTTTGCATCCTCTCCAAAACCTCATCATTGTTGACATGTTCAGTCCATGATATCCTTCTGTAGAACCATACCTACATAAACTAGAGTCTCTTCTTAATCTTTGAGGAGACTGTCCAATATTCACTGCTGTAAAAGAGGACAGATATCACGTAGCAGTTCAGTATTCTTTTCTCGTTACCAACAAAATCCTCCTGTCTCATAATACTCTGCCTAGCTTTTGGAATGCATCTTTGGCCATCTCAATACATCTTACCCTCCTCTGTGAGAACACTTCCCAGATATTTAAATTTTTACACCTGCTTGATTTTAGTGTCCCTGGCCTATAAATTGCATTTCTGGCTCATCCTTTTACTGATGACCATGTCTTCTTATAGTTTATGCTTAGTCCCTTCTTCTCGCTCTCATTCACTATATTCTGTAGGAGGTTTGGTAATTTCTTTTCCATGTCTGCTATCAGCACTGTCATCTGTGTATCTTATAGATTGTGTCTGCCAATGATGAATCCCAGTAGGATTTCCAATTCTCTCAGAATTGCCTCATTGTATAGACTGAACAAGTCCAGCAAGAAGACACATACTTGCCTTATGTCCCTTCCTATTTTTGTATATCTGCTGAATTCATTCTCTATCCAAATGCAGGCCGTTTGCTGCCAGTATAGGTTCTTGATTATTCTAATATCTTTCCCAAATATATCAAGGTTGCTGAGCAGTTCCAATAGATCTTTGTGGTGTACTTTGTCGAACATCTTTGCTTAGTCTATAAAACATAGGTGCATGTCCTTCTGCTTTTGTATTGCTCTTTCTGATAACATTCTGAGCATCAATATCACATTCCTTATTCTGGTGTCTTTAACGAACCCACACTGTTCTTGTTCTATCTCTGACCTGATTCTGCTACATGCTTTATTCATTAGAATATGGATGATGAGTTTTGTTATGCGGCTCATTAGGCAGATTGTTCAGTGGAGTTCACATTCATTTGCAACTGGTTCCTTAGGCAGTGCTATGAAAATAGATCTATTGAGATCTTCCAGTATATCCCCACTGTTGTAGATTTCATTTATTATTTCCGTGATCTTGTCTATGCCAAAATCATCTAAGGCAGTCAAGCATTTCCATTACAATTCCATCTGGCCCTGCCACCTTGTTTCTATTCAGTTTCACCAGTGCAGCTTCTACTTCGGTTTTTAGAATTTCAGGTCTATCAGTAGTCCTGTGTATTGCTGGTTGCTCTTTTGTCGTGGAAGAATTCTCCAATATATTCACTCCAGCACTGAAGAATTATTTTTGTTCTCTAATATGAGCATTTCATCCTTTGATTTTATGCAGCCTGTTGATGAGCATGTCTTCTGTGTTCATTTATTTGTTTATGCATATCTCCTTTGTTGGTGATAGTCTCTGTTTCTGCACATTTTTTGTTTAGCCACTCTTCTTTAGACTGCCTGCATTTGGTCCTTATTTCATTGTGCAATTTCCTGTATTCCATTTTGTATCTAAGCAGAGTTTTCTGTCTCCTTTGCATCATGTCGAGAATCTTATCAGTTAATCTTTTTTTTTTTTTTCTTCTTTGTCCATCTTTCTTTGGGATGATATTATTTAGAGATGTCACTAAAGCATCTCTTAGTACATCCCATTTAGAGTTTACATTTCCACTGTGTCCCTAGTACGTTCTTTTCACATTGTCCATATATTTTTCTTTCAGGTACAGGGTCACTCAGGAGTTTGTTGTATTGCAATTTGGGTGCTGCATTGGGCTACTTCAGTTTCCATAGTTTCACTCTTAGTTTACATGTAACAGGGTGATGATCACTTCTGGAGTCTGCACTTGGGTAGGTTTTGCAGTGAACCATTGCATTTCTGAATCTTTTGTTGATAGTTATGTAGTCAATTTGGTTTTTAGTTTCTTCTCTTGGGTTCCTCCATGTCTATAATTGTTTCAGATGTTCTTGGAACCATGTCTTAGTTATTACCTGGTCATTGGCTGTGCACCATTGGATCCAATTTTCTCCATGTTCATTGGTGGTTCCTAGTCCAAATTTTCCAGCTAAATCCCCCGCCGACTTGATAATTATGGCTTCTTGTGATTTGCAAAGAGCCTTAGCATTCTCTAGCATGGAGAAGAAAGATTTGATTTATTCTTCCTTACTTTGCACTGTCAGTGCATACACTATTATGATAGTTATGTTTAAAGGCTTTCCTTTCAACTTGACTACCAGAATTCTTTCAGATAGTAGTATCCCAGAATGCATTTCTTGAATACTTGATCTAGTATCAATCCTACTCTTTTCTCTCTGC